TTTTTAAATCCCTTATTTTGGCCTTTTAATTATTTGGTGCCAGCCGCAAAAAAAGAGAAGAAAAAGTAATTATATTTTATTTTTTTTCATGGGGATTCGGAATATTTTTTAAATATTTTTCAAAAAAATATTTAAAAAAAAGATCCCGAATAAAACGTGGGGATTCCGAATACCCCATGATTCCATATCCCAATACGACATATATATTAGTTTTGTTAATTTTTTGGCTATTTTAAATTTTCGTTTCATTTTATTCTCATTTCATTCTAACAATCCTTTGTTTCTATATTAGAATTTTACTATTTGTAAAAACATTATTTAAGTTATACACTTATTTATATTTATGAATAATAAGATAATATTTATTTTAATTTTTAAATCGAAGAAAATTTTGGGATACAGTAAGTCCTATCCGGACATGGATGTTATATAGAAAATTTTACAGGATGGTGTAAAAAAAATTATTATTACAAATTTTAAATTTTGGATTATATGATAGAATATTAGCTCTTGGAACAATTTAGGATAATTTTTAATTAATTAATTAATTTCATTTTTGTTAAAGATGGCATAAAATTTGTGAAAATTACCTTTTTGGGGTACCATAATTTTTAAAATTTATTTTATGAAATTGTTGTAAATTTTTCCTAATGATGACTTATTTGGAAAACCTAATTAATGTAAGGGAATTAGAAATCTCTCAATTTTAAATATTAAGAAAGTAATTTGTAATTACAAACACATAATTTCACTAATATGTTTAAATACCTTATTCTCTGAATTTGAGCCAATTTTGCCATGATTTTTTGCGTTTCGGTTTTATTTGACAACTTAAAAATTCAAACGTAAGATTCAAAAGTTCACGGTAAAAAATGTTTGAAATTTAGATAGATAACACTATATAAAATGGTTTACTTTTGGCTTATATTTTCTAATAAACCAGATTTTTTGAGAGATTTCCATTCCTTACATGAGGATTCCAGATAAGTAATTTCCAGTTATATACACCACATATACATAATTCAAAATTATATATCCTCTAAAAAAAGAAAGATTTGTAACTATAATTTTAATCTAACAAAATTATCTCGCCCCCCCCCCCCCTCTCCCTTGCAATATCATCTCCTTAAGAATAAATCTCATTATTAAGAAAATAATTTCAGAGCGGGATAAGAGTTTCTCCAGTATAGATGTGTAATAAAAAAATTGGCTTATTCGTTTCAATGCTCATGTGCATGTGGGAAAATTTTTTTTCAAATACCCCGGTAAAATATATGGGAGGCACATATTTCGAAAAAAAAGACTCACTATATAATACTACCTGCAATCAGCTGGTTGGCCGTCATTTTGGTATCCTACATAAATAATTTAATAAATTCTTTTTTAATAGAAGGTTTATTTATTTATAAAATCTTTATATGACCCAAAATAGCATCCACCAGCTGATTTTCATTCAACACTTCAATATCTATTTTAATGTATTATTATGCCAAGAATTAACAATAATATTTAATTTGATTAAATAAAAAATAATGAAAGCAGGATTAGTACCCATACATAATTGGTTTGTCTCAAGATCAAAAATAAGAGGCTGGCAGTTCTTTGTACTTATTCAATTCTTAAAATAGGCACCAAATCTCTAAGTATCATTTCACCCTCGATTTCCCCACTAGGCATATTTTAACAATAGATCGCAGCAAATTACATAATTCACTTATAACTTTTTTTAAGGCATCAGAAGTTAAAAGGGATTAAAGATTAAGATCTATAAAAACGAAATCCTAATGCATCAAAATTTTTGAAGAATAGACAGAATCTCCAGGCTTGCATAATATTTTTTGGCTAATATTGGATTGGTCGTGTTTTTAAATCGAGCCTTTTAACTTTTTAGTTTAATTTCTTTTTATATATATAAAATGATTATTAAACCGAATTATCATTGCTTTTAAAATGTTCAAAATTTATAAAAAATAAATAAAATACTGATAACATGGCATAACCATTTAATTAAATTTTAATGATACATAAATTTATCCAATTATATAAATAAAATCTGACCAATGCTAAAAAAAAATATTCTATATATATTAAAAAAAAATATGAAAAACCAAATTTCCTATTAAATTTTAATTTTTCCGGACTTTTTCCTTTTTATTTATTGATAAAATTTCTTTACTTAGAAAAACTTTTATATTTGGCATTTTTTTTTTATAAAATAAAATGCATTTCAAATGAAGAATTAGTGTTAGTTGTAATAATAATTTTTTCTTTGTTTTATCGATTTAAAACTAAGTGTAGCAAACAGTAAGCACGATTCATACATAGATTTTAAAATATTACCGCAATAATAAAATTACCATTTTTATTGTATCTAATGTACGCGCAATGTTCGTAGTCATAGCAATTAAAATTTAAATATTAATCCAAAAAAAATTATGATCAATATTTTATATTGGATTAAATCAGGCAAATCAATATAGTCAAGATAAGGGTGGAAACCCGAATTGAAATTAAACCTATTAAAAAAATATTGTTCGTATTTGATTCGAAATTTAAGATTAATTAATTATTCGAATCAAAGTTCCTATTCGAATGTGCGTTAAAATTGGATGAATAATAAATTAATAATTCATAACGATTTCTTTCTCCGTAAATATTTGATTTTTTGAATTATTCATTAAATATGAGAATTTATCACTTATTATTTTCGAAATTAGTAACAGAGACTTCAGTTCAGCCCGATCTTAAAAATCTGGCCCGAGGCTATAATAATCGGGCTTGGCAGGGAATCCTGTGTAAAACTTTTTTCGAATCGGGTCAAATATTTAAATTTATTGACGCGGGCCAGATCTGGAGGATCGGGCCTTGCATCTTTATAAAGTGATAGTAATTTGTACTTTCACAGCAGCTGAAATTCAAGAATTTGAAAAACATTTCATGCCTTAGAAAATGGCCCTTTTAATTTTTTTTAGGAAAATTAAATTTGCAATTTCTAATATAAACTTTAAAAAAAATATAGATTTATTTTTACATAAATAATTTATTTTAATATTCTAATAAGAATTTAGAAAATTCCTCCGATAAATTATATATACATTATTTATATATTATCTTTTATAGTGGCGTAACTATGATGCCGCAGACGCAGACCTCAATGTAAAAATATTTTCACGAGCCCCCTAGTAAATATAATAAATAATACGGTCTTTAAGCTGATTACTAATTTTTGGAGCTATAAAAGTTAGCAAATTTCTATATAGCCCGCGCCACGTTACTTCGTAACCCCTGTTACCTTTTTTGCTATGATCATTTTCTTTTATTATATTTTTGTCATTGTGTTAACAATAGTAGATTAATCATTTTTAAAATGGCATTCGTGAATAAGCTGCTTTGGAATATGAATTTAGTATTATGTATGCGATATATCGTAGTAAAATTGTTATAAATGGTTGAACTAGATATTGTTGTGCATAATTTGTGTTATATTATGCAGTAATAGCAATATGTGTAATATCTATTAAAACTCTACGAAATTTATAAGGTAGGCATTTTGAACATACTGAAATACATTTCTATACTTTTTAAAAAATAAAATTTATTAACACACAAAATAAAATTAAATTTGAAAATTATAACCTGAAGCGGGAAGGGAGGATTTGTCAGAGCTGTCATAACACTAAATGCCCCCCCCCCACCTACATACACACTATTAAGATAATATTAACTATCCATTTCCATGATAATTACTATCATTGACCCATTCTGAATAATTTATATATAAATTAGACTCTTTGTGACTCAATTTATATAGAGAATGCTTGATTTGATATTATTTTACACCAAATTTAATGTTACTCTATTTCCCAATATAAATTTAAAAGATAAATAAATGTGTATTCTGTATTTGATATATAAACTAATATAATTAATAAAGGTCAGCGCGACACGGCCCATTAATTTTCTATAGAGGTTTTTAACCCTGCCCTGAATAATTTTTATGAAGGAAAACGACATAAATTTGACAATTATTAGCTTTAAAAACAATTCATAATTTATCCAGATCAGCTTGCGGAGTTTAGGGTCTCTCGGGTCTGGCTTTGTCCACCTTTAATTATTTGTAATTAAAAATAGGTTAAATTAAATATTGTAATATTTATATGTCATTTTTTTATAATATGCCAAATTTAAAGGAAATCCAACTAAATTAAAATTTCGATATTTTTATTTGCCTCATCGGAAACTTTATAAATTGGTATTTTTAAAAAATTATAGTTTTATATGGAAATGATTGTTTAATTTCAATATCACCAGCTATTCAAACAAATAATTAAGTTATTAATAATATTATTTGGTTGCTAACTATTATTTTAAAATTGAATTGATTTTCGATCCATATTTAATTTTATATCAAAAGAAGGAGGATATCTTTGAATTGAATGTCAAGGCTGAAATACTCAATTTATTGATTTTCATTTTAATATAACAAATAAATGCGTTAATTCATTTCTTTTTTCTTCTTCCCCTTCTACTACTAATAGGTTTAAAAATATTATTGTATATAATAGGAAAATTAAATTTAGGGGTTATACTTTATAGCTCAATTTAATTGTAAAAATTAGTTGAATTACATTTTTATAACTTAAATATATTTATATCAAATATTATTAATTTTTCGTAGTTGTGAAGTGATGATTATATAAATCTACTAGTTGATGGATGATGGTTATAATTATGTAAAATATAAATTTAAATTTAAAGAGAACCTTATATTATTTAAAGGGTGAATAAAAAATATTTTATATATGGATTTTATATTAAATTGGATAAGCGTAGTCAACGTCATCCTCATCTCTTACCAGTATTATAATGTTCTAATAACTATTTTGTTTTATATAGAACTATTGAACAATTATAATAATAATAAGTATTAATAATAATAATTAAAAATATTTGCAAAATTTGTATATTACTTTTAATCGATAATTAATTTTGTTTTAAAGAGAGAAAAAAAAATCTGACCGACCAAAAACGTGAGGAGGAAAAGGTTACGAAGTTATCGATACAGATTGCCTCCATATCTATTCAATCACTTAAAATGATGGTTATCGTCAAATTTAATTTAAACGAGATAATATGAATCAAAGACATCCATCTTCGACCTCGATTCTTTCAAATCAGTCCGGTGATTGCTCTCGTAATCCTTTTCATAATTTGGACAACCAGTCAAACAACACCTGTGATATTTACAGCAGCAATCTGCAACCATCGGTAGCTAATAAATTGTTGATATCTGAGCATCATGGAAATAACATAAAAGAAGTCAACGGTATAGGAGGAAAGAACAAAGATTCTTGGGTCTGTCCCGATGATAGACAATTGGCATTACGAGCAAAGTAAGATATTTATTTTAGAAAACAAAGTTATGATAAATGCTATCTCTCTTAAAAATTTAGTATATTAATAATTCCTTATAACGTTATTTAACATTTCATTGGTGGTTAAAATTGTTCTAAAATTTGAATGAAAGGCTATATTGAATTTTTTAGTTATATAATTTTAAATATAAAATAAAGTATAATCTGAATTGCAACAGGATTATATATATAGTTATATATAATCGGCTATAGTTAAAATCTTCGTCTAAAGTTTTCCCACATTTTTTTTAGCATTTTAGATTTTTCGGGTTGACCTTTTAAAATTTCTAGGCCCCTTAATAAGAAATTTTTTAAATCTTTATATAATTAATAAAAATTGAACCTAATTTGATTTTTATAAACGGATAACACAATATTTCCTCAAAAAATATTACGCAAGCCTGAAGATTTTGCTCTTAGATGGCAGAAAAGTTTCTATTAATGAAATTTTGAATCTTATGTAATATTGTTAAATGTTTAGCAGCACTAATAGAACCATAGTAATTTTAAATATGAAAAAAACTTATAAAATTTGATTTGTTGTTGTAGTGTCTTTTTTCAGGGACCCGAACCTTTATTTATAATGGTTCAGCTTGGTTACGGTTCAGTATGTAAAAAATTATAATAATTCGGTTACGGTTCTTAAGAAAATATTTACAAAGTTTCAATTCGGTTCAGCTAATTGTAAAGGTTCATAAAGGTTCATTAAGATAGAAATTTTTTTCTAAATTATTTTTAATGAAGCAACACAAATCATATAATGATTTTAATTATAAATATTATTTATTAAAATTTTTGCCATCACTTAAGTTAATAATATTGTTTATTTATAAAATAGATGAAATTAATTTATTTTTATTATAAGTATATATATATGAATAATATATAAAAAAATATATAATAATCATAACTCATTTCTAAATATATTATTTGAACGTATAAGTAATATATTTTCTATATAAGTGGATTCATTTGTTCTTGTGGCGATAACATCAATTTTAGCCCCGGAAAGGCCATTTAAACACATACTAAAATGCAGGAAATAGGAATGCTCTAATACTATATGAAACAGTTAAAAGATTGTGGATAAATTTAAGTCTAGTGAAAAATTATTACATACTTCATATGGATATTAACAAATATTTTGATCATTCAATAATTATAAATAACGACAGAGGTATGGTAAAATATGTAATACACCATAAGGAAAAGAATATAATAGGTAGAATTATTTGTTTTATTTTGTCTGGAACTGGTTCAAACTGGTTTAACCCTTTTTATAAAGGTTGTTTTTACTTCTTCAAAAAATAATTACATCGATTCGGTTAAGGTTCAGATATTTATAAAGGTTTATAAGGGTTTAGCGCTGGTTCACTCCGGGTCCCTGCCTTTTTTAGACATCTTCCAATATATTTTTTAACATATCAGTGGCATACTAAATCGTTTATATTTTCCATTTATTATCTGTCTAAAATCTAAATTTCTTTATTTTTCAACTTGCTATAACAATATTTTGCTAAAAAAAAAAATTATTTTTTATTATTTTTTTTCACCCTATTTCTAATGCAATATTGCAATATACTTACCGAACAAATTTTTAACAGATAGCTTTTTTCAATTTTTTAAAAAAAAATTTTTTGAAAAATTATTATCGATTTTTGTAAGTTTTAAAGGATTGATTTTAAACCATATACATACCAGGGATGTCTATTTACACTATAAATCAAAATGACAATGATATTTACAAATAATTAGTATGTCGAACTAGAACATTTATAATTTATATTTATCAAGTCAACAGTCTATAAAAAAAAGAATGTTTTTTTCCTAATGCATCTAAAAAAATTTTTATATTAATGTGAATATATATTTGGTGTTGAAGAATTAGTGTTTTTTCATCTTCTTCATAGTATTGGTAATTCCATTTTTACATATTTTTTTTTATTATACCACTTTATAATTAAATCCTGTTGATAAATTATTTTTAAAGAGTAGAATTCATAATTAAACACGCGAAAAAAAATTGAACACTATTTCGACATTTTTTTTTATGAACCTAAGATGTAAAAAAAAAACAATAGATAAATATTTTGATTAAAGTCTGAAGAAAAATAATTTATATATATATATATATATATATTTAAAAAGTTCCCATTTTGTTTAACATTGGCAAAATTAATATGATAGGCTCAAAACTGGGTGGTCAGTCCATACTAATAAAGCACCATCACCCGGAAAGATTAACGAACAACAATTGACGGATTCCGAACAAGAAGCGATTATGGAAGTTATACACAGAGCCGAGATGCTAGAGAGCTTAGAAAAGGAAAGAGTTGGGTAAGTTGCTAACGCCATTTTTTGTTATTATTTTTATTCCTCTTTATCTCGTGTATTAGTTAGGTATTAGTATTTTTAAAAAAAATCATCCCGATTATAAATATAGGTTTTAAAACCTCATTAAGTTATGAAATTGAGCTATATGGATATGGCTATATTTATCAAATAATCGAAAAATTTTATTGTAGAACAACCTTGAGGGGAAAATAATTGGTCTAACAAGCATTCGATATAATTTAATAAATATTATGCTAAAATTTGATATTTGATTTTAATAATCGTCATCTATCATTAGTCATAGATCAAATCTGAACAATACAGTTATTTTAAAATATAAAATATTGGGAAAACTAAAAAAATGAATCTAGCGCATATACACTCTGCCTAAAATTATTAAGATTAGTCAAAGATTTAGAGTATAATTATTAGGTAATTTTGGTTTGTTCTCATTCATATTTTCGCTTTTTTCCGTTTTTTTAAAACTTTTTAAGCTATTTATTCGAAGCTTAGCCGGTTATACAGTCGGCTGTTTATTAATGAACCCAAACAGATCAAGGACATGCCTTTAAAAAGTCTAGGATTTTCATGCACTCCCCTAGTATTGCTAAGCTGGGTTTATTTTTAAAAACGGCCCGATCCATAATAATATTATGTACTGGAGATTTTGGTCATAGATAGCAGTAGCCAATAACGCCCCTGGAACTTTTAATTAAAAATTGAATAAAATAGGATTAGTATATTTTTAATATAATCCATATAAATTTTAAACGAAATTAAATTTTCTCTTTATATTTTTTTAAATAAAATAAGAAGCAATGTAGAACAAAATAATTTAGCCAATTTTACATTATATTTTATTAGGAAATTGGTTGATAAATTAGAAAACATGAAACACAATGCCATTGGAAATGGAGTCAATCAGTGTATTTTGTGTGGAGAAGAATTTGGCCTGTTATCGCCAGCACGTTATTGCGAAGATTGCAAAAAGGTTTTTCTTTTCTAAATATAAATGTCTCAAACATATTCTTAGAAGTTCAAATGACATTTCTAACTAAGCATAATATAGCATAAAAATTCCTTAATTAGAGGGTTAATAGGCGCCTTCACAATTTTCACAAAAAATAGATTTGAAAGAACTTCCTACTAAATTCCTTATTAGAAAATAACTTGATAACTAGGACGCTAGTCTAATTTAGTTAAAATCTTATTTCTTACCGAATGCCGTTTAGAAAATTTTACTGTAATTTTTTTTACTGTTTGCAATTTTGCAATTTAGGAATTTATTGTTTTTTTATCCAGACAGAACATTTGATATCATAATAAAAACTTATACGAATATTAGATACATTTTTTAAAAATTTTTAAAAAATTATAAAATGTTTATTGAAAAAGACATATAATTTGATTAAGAAAATTTTTATTGCCATTTTAATTAAGGCCGTTTTAAAAAAATTTGTTTTTTGTTAGTATAATAAAAAGTTTATTGTAAAAATATATATATATAAATTTTAATCTAGATGGAATATTTGTACATACAAGTATCGTAATCAAAATTTCAACTTAAAATTAAAAAAAAAATCAATTCTAAAATATAGGCTGTATGTTCTAAATGTGTAGTTGATGCCGGTTTAACAGATCCTCAAGGTCATCATCACCCACTCTGGCTGTGCAAAATTTGTAGCGAGTCTAGAGAAGTATAAAATATATAATATTTTGAAACTTACCTTTTAAATACGATTTCCATATAACTAATTTATTTAAATTAATTTAAAATCTATTCTATAGAATACTTGCCACCTTGAAAAAGCATAATAAATTATAATCTCAGCTTTACACTTTAAGAGATTATTTATATAATTTTAATATATCAAAAAAATTATAAAAGATCTGGAAACGTTCTGGCGCATGGTTTTTCAAAGGCTTGCCCGTTAGCACGCCAATTCCTTCTACTAACACCTCTACAACATCGTTAAATAAAAAATCGGAGAATTCTAGAGCGGAAACCAGCAGCCCTAATACTCCTGGTCGTTACAGGAAAACTGGTATTAAAAATTATCCATAAATATAATCTTCATAATAGACTTCAATGAGTTGGTGGAACAAGAAGTTTTATAATAATTGTATTTCTGGTGGTAGAATAAATCTAGTAGATCGCATTTTTGATACTAATTCAATTTCAAACGAATATTCAAAATATTTAAATTATATTCGTTTTATTCAAATCCAAGAAATCAAATAAGCCACTATTTTAAAACCAAATATATTTGCTCTATTCAATTAATAGGAACGTCAATCCGAACGCACCAGATAGCGGTCCCGTCCGGTCTCAGTCTGCCCTTAAAAATTGGTTCCCAGGTCCTTTTCTATAATGAGTCCCAATGACGCGTTCACACTAGAACCGAACCTTTTTTAAAAAAATTTATATGAGCTAACTGAACCTTTTTAAACCAACTCTATAAACCAGTTCATAAGGTTCATATCGTATTTTATTTTAAATAGTAATTAACAAAATCTCAGTTTTCATCTATCTTCCGAAAAAATAAGAATATCAATTGGTCTTTGTACTGGTTGCTATATTGTTTCTTATTTCAAATATTCTCTTTGTAACATTAGAGTTGAAGAAAATGGGCACCACCCACATCGTTTCTCTAAAGGCTGCCAACATAGGCATAGAGCAGTCAAAAATATAATATCCAAAACTCTAAGAAGAGCAACATACCATTCACCCTCGAGCCCATGGGTCTCAAAACTTTAGATGAAAAAAGACCAAATGGTTTAACCTTAATTCCATGGGAAAGGGGTATCCCTCTAGCTTGGGATTACATTTGTATAGACATATTAACGAAATCTAACACCCACTAATCTCTTTCCTGGAATAAAAACAATAAAAAATATATAGAACTTAACAATATTATATTCGTTCCTGTTGTCACATCAACCCTCGGAAATTTCGGTATTATAAAAACAAAATATATAGTAATCATATTTAAAAAAGAGAGACGCTTATAAAATGATTTCTGCTTATCTTTCTTAAAATGCACGTTTGAAATATAGACACTATACTCCAATTTTTTAATTTCATAGATAAAATCAAGGGTGATAAAGCTAGTGCGTGTTTATATCTTGATCCATGATATCCAATATTATTGTCAATGACAAAATAACAGGACTAGAAAACATTTCATGCAAATTTGACATGTATTTAAGATATGTTGTGATGGAACAATGTTATATAAGTCACTTATTTCTATAATTAGTCAAAATAATTATCCAGATCGCGTAAATATTTTCAATCTTTATTACAAATGAAAAAATAACAAATGCAAAAGTAGGCCGCACAATGCGAAGTATCTTTTAACCATCGTACGGAATAAAAATATCAATATTTTAGCATATTAGGGAGGGAGAAAATTATAGTAACCCAAAGTATATCTATTAGCAATAAAGACTATGTCTGTCCAGGCTATACAGGGGGTTAAAATTTAATTTTACAGATTGAAATATATTCTACCTTCGCAGAGAACATGATTGGACAAAGATATATTAGAAATTTATATACAAATAAAAATTGAAAATTAAATATTGGGATAGCATTAAAGAGTGTTTTATTTTTCATATTCTTCTATTATTACATAGAATAAGGTTAAAATTATTTAAAGATATCGAAAAATATATAAGAATAATACGGGATATGTATATGGGCTATACAACAATGGTCCGTAGCACAACTGGTACTTCAACAAGCTTCACAATAACCGAGGGAGTTAGGGTCGGCTTTCAGATCACTTCTCTTCATAACAGTAATAGATGTATTAGCACACTCTATACCACAAACAGTCCCGTGGAATATGATATTTGCAGATGATATTGTGATACTTGCTGAATCCAAGGATGAAATGAAAGAAAGATTAGTGAGCTGGTTAAATATCCTATAAAAGCACGGGCTAAAAGTAAATAGAGAAAAGACGGAGTATATGGTGATAGGAGGAGATGAAACAGAGAGCATTGATATAAATGAACAGATATCGGCAATTGAAAGCTGCAAATATTTGGGCTCCACTATACAAACAAACGGCACAATAGAGAAAGAGATAAAGATTAAAATTAATCAAGGGTGGTTAAAGTGGAGATCTTTATCTGGAGTGCTCTTTGACAAAAGAATCGCATACAAATTGAAGGGAAAAATTTACAGTTCCATAGTACAACCAACTATTCTATATAGTTCAGAAACATGGCCAACCAAAGAATCAGACGAGAGAAGCCTACAAACTATGGAGATGAGAATGCTGAGGATTATTGATGGGGTAACAAGAAAGGATAAGGTGCGAAGTACAAGAATATTAGGGAGTTTAAAGGTAGTGCTCATTAAGACTAGGATAATGGTAAACAGACTTAGGTAGTATGGGCATACAATTAGAAGGCCTATGAACTACATAGGAAATAAGGTTTAGAGTTTGGAAGTGATGAGTAAACGTAAAAGAGGAAGGCCAAAACTTTAATGGGGCCATAAAGTTAGAACCAATATGAAGAAGTAAAAATTAGATAAACGAGATAGTATGAATAACATAAAGTGGAGAGAGATATTGAAGGAACTTACCACCAGAAAAGGTGAAAGCTAAAGAGAAAAAAAAAATGGGTATCCAGTATAAAGAATAATGATTACTGAACCTATATTTATTTAAAGGTTTTTGAACCTGAACCGAACCTAAACTTTTATAAAATTTAATTCTTTAACCTGAACAGAACCTAAACCTTTATTGAAAAAAAATTCCTGGAATCTGAACTGAAGCTTATATCTCAAAAGATTTGACACTGCCTAATATGGTGAAAAATTAGTTAATGTCGCTTTCCTCCTTTGCTAGAATGAAAGCAGATTATTACTCGATACAAAATTACAAGGCACGATAAGCAAAAGAAGAAATAGACTATTTCTAAAAAAAGGTAATATTTGATAGACGGAAGAAGAAAAAAAAAGTGTTTTCGCAAGCGTTCGGTCCTAAAATTAGTATTAGAATAAGCCCGGTCATAAAATTGACGTTGAGGAGTACGCGATTTTAAAATTTCCCTTAGAACGCAGTTCAAAAATGTATCGGGCAAAAAAAAGGACCTGATCGGGACGGAGGGTTTCCATTCACTAATGGGGTGTGTATTAATTATTATATACTCTTATTTTTCTTTTTCTTTTTACAGTAAATACTACCCCTAAACATAGGGGAAAAACAACAACCAATCAACCAAGTGGAAGACAATTACCTCCTACGCCGGATGTTGCCTCTGCTCATGGACATGATAAAAAGGAATCATTAAGTTCCTTACCAAAAACTTATCCTACATGGACAAACGTTAAGCGTAAAGATGGTATATAGTTACAAATTATAACTTTATTTTTATATATGTGACAATTAAGAAATATTTTATAAATTGTAATTCTTCTTTTTTTGGTTATATTTATCGTTTTGAAAATTAGATATAGAAGAACCTGCGGTATCATTAAATAACGATATCGTGGATCTCCCTAAAACATACCAATCTCATAGTATAAAGGATTCAGAATTGCCCATAATCAAATCAACTTCTGCATCATCATCCTCGTCTACATCATCTTCCATCGATAATAACATAAACAACTATAATCCAACTCAAATTCCAACCCCAACTCCTAAACTCGGACACAAATTACCTCAGGTTCCTTCCTTCAACAAGAGCAGAGTTATCGAAAATGTTTCCAATCTAATCCCTCCGTCGATAACCTCTCCTAGCACCCTGGCAACTAATTCGGGTCAGACGCTCAATGTAACATCTTCCCAACAAAAGGTGCCGCCATCGAATCCTAATAGGGCCAAAAGTCCATCTTTTCCGTCAAATAAAATAGGTATAGCTTAATTTCTAATAATATCTTTCACATGGGATTACTATTTAAACTTGACTAACAATTGTTTCCTATCGACAACCTTTATTAAATTAAATATAATTGTATTTTTTACTATATTTACAGGTGGCGAAAAGAGGACAAAATCAATAAAAATTCCACGTTTACCAAATTTTATTAATCACAAACAGCCGTTGGCCAAAGAGGACACATCTGATTCGGATATCAACAAACATCAGGAAGATGAGAAGGATAATTATGAACCTGATTTTGTGACTGAACCCGATCCCAATGCAAAAAGTAATATGTAAAGCCTTATTTATTTTTTTTATAATTAATATTCAACATTTATAAATAATTTTAATTTCAAAAAAAAATAATTTACGGGAAAGCAGATACCAAATCGTCAAAAGATACAAACGAATACAAGCCACCCATTTATCAAGTAAATTGCATTGCAATTACTAATGTAAGGCATTATATTATAATTTCATAAAATAAAATAAAATCTTTTATTCACCGCATTATTCATTTTGTTGTATATTTAAAAGAAAGCAAAAAGTATCATAACACCGATTATGCAAGAACCTTCTCCGGATTACAACGACACTTCCGCAGATGTTACACTAGGTGGTGCACGATCAAAACTTTTCGATTCATTCGATAAATCTAAAAAATTTAGCCAGAGTTCAGGAATAAAATTTTCTCCTGATACAAAAGGTTTCATTAATAAAATGAAATTCTTATTATGCAAAACGTATTTAAATGTATATGTATATACTAACTTTTGTTTAATTGTCTAATATAAAAGTGGATGTCAAATCGAAACAAGATGCAAACGAATTCGAAGATGATATCGATGAAGATGAAGATGACGAAGCTTTATCAACTTCTAGGGGCTCTTTGGAGTTCTCCCTTCTTTATGATTCCATTAATAATGCACTGCATTGTACTATCCATAGGGCTAAGGGCCTAAAAGCAATGGATTCAAATGGATTTTCTGATCCTTATGTTAAGCTACATTTATTGCCAGGTGCTGGAAAGTCGACCAAATTAAGAACTAAGACTGCTCACAAAACACTTAATCCAGAATTTAACGAAACTCTAACGTATTTCGGGATCACCGAAGAAGATATGATGAAAAAAACTCTGAGGTTTATTCATTTATATAATAAAACAAATTCAAAAACATGGCAAGTAAAATTTTTCTTACGGTGGTAATAAAATATTAGTAATTCCAAAGTTACAAGAAGAAGAAAAATATTATATATTTTATCTCGTACAAATAAAATTTTTACATGGTGGAAAATTCGAATTTTGTTTGTCTTCCTGTTACCAGAATGATGAAGTTTGCAGAAAACAATTAAAATTTATACCTCTATCAATCAATCAAATTTTCTTGAATTAATTTTAGAATTGACAGATTTCTAGCTAAAACAAAAAAAGTTCAGTTCAATTGAAACACGCTGTAATTTCGATTTATTAGTATAAACATTTTTCAAGTCATCTTTTCAGATTTTCTCTTTATTAAACTTTACAATTCGACAAAAATATAAAAACATCAACATTTAAAATTAATTTGAGCCAAATGTTGTACTAGCAATCAATTGGCTGTAACTTGTTTAATTTCTGCAACGTACACCCTATCTTTGCAAATTTACCGTTGTAGTATCTGTAAACAGTATTTTATCCATGAACCATATGAAATTAACTAACCTCTGAGGGTATTTCCGTTTATGTTTGTTACTTACCATACGGGCAATTTTATTCAAATCTATTAGATCCTGGGTTTGTTTCTTTTTTAAACCCTTTGCTACAGCTCTTTGTGGATAATCCGATGCACTGAAGTTTGCTAAATACCAGTTTCTCGTGATACTTGACGAATTGTTCTATATGTGCCAGGTCGCTTTTCTTTTCAATACGATTGTATCAACAGAATCCACATTTTCCATCATACGAACTTTGCCTAGTCTACCACCAAACCGGGTTTTTTGCTAATCCGGTAGCATAATTTTGCAATCAATTGATTCAAGGCTGCGATAGACCAGTTTTTGTTAAGAAATTCCTGCAAAAATCTTTTGGCTCCATATTGTTTTTCTTGTCCTTAAACTTAAGTCATCTCTACCTAAAAACCATTTTTTGAAATTATGGTCTGCCTAAATGTAAAGTTTAATAAAAAATAAATTTTATATTGGAAAGTTAGAATTTTGTTTGTCCAACTTTGAATGTGCATAACTTCGGACTATGTTGCTAGAATTTGATGATATTTGTAGAAAACATTGATATTATATACCTATCCCAATCTATAAATTTTATTAAATTATTTTTCGAATTGACAGATTTATGGTTAAAAAAAGTACAGTTCAATTGGAACACAGTGTAGATATCTTTGATGTAATAATTGCCCCTTTTAAGATATATTTTTGGATTGAATTTTGACCAGTAATTTTATTATTTATTACACATATAATATATGTTAAAATAGAAAACCGGGGTAAGTAAAATACTTTTTTAAATATCAAATATAACTTCCGTACCTTTTTATATTCTGGAAAGTCCTATATATCAATAAGTACCCACAACTAGATATTATTAATGGCAATATCACAATTTATTAATATATTATCATTTTTTTTTATAAAAATGTTGCACCATCACGGCCCAACCATAGGATTGGTCAAATCACCTCACGGAACTTCCACGACCATTAAGTTTTTAGACTTATTGTGGACAAAAATGTCATTTATATTTTTTAAGATTGATATATAGAATAAATTTGATATTGCATTGTTGAAATCAAAATGATAACTTAAAATCTAGCCAAAATATATTATGTTACCAGCAATGTGCATAATCAGTCAATACGTGTGTATATTGTTAAATTAATATTTAAGAGAAAAGCGTGCATAATGTATTTTCTCTAATATATAGATCCTACATGACATCTACCCGTTTTATTATAAAAGATGGTACCTTTTATTTAGTCCGTTAGCAAAGGCAAAAGGAAGAAGTAGATATAATAGAAATTATTAGTTCCGTTTAGTGGCAGGAAAAGATGGCGAATTTGCGTTATTTTATATTGTTAACTGTACAGTGGTATCTTGTATTATTCTAGTGTACTTAACTTATTCTTGGTTTTTAAGCTGTGGGTAGGAATCATAGTTTAAGGTTTTTTAAACATATAATAACATGGATGCTTTTTATGCCATACACAGACATCTGAATTTTTCAAGGAAATGAGATGACTGAATGGGAATATATGAAATACATTTTAACCTTATTTGATAAGTGCATGATAAATCAAGCATAAGAGTGTGATATATATCTGATTATTTCTTATTAATGTATATAATATTGATTCTATTTACAGATTATCAGTATTAGATGAAGATGTATTTGGGCATGATTTTATCGGCGAAACTCGAGTGCCTTTGAAACGGCTCAGAGCCCAACAAACAAAAACGTTTAATGTTCTACTCGAAAAACAAATGCCAGTAAATTTATAATAATATACATTAAGCTACATCATCCAAACTTACTTTATATTTATTTTTATTAGTAAATTAACCTAACTTGAAAACGAGTGTATATAAGTTTATTTTAACACAAGAGTTAAAAAAAGCCTAATAAGCTATTAGTGATCATTACAATTTCTTTTAAATATAACAATAATAATCAATCAGCTTTTTGAACTAATAAAGCTGTTATAAAAAATCTTCTAAAAATTTGTTAGCAAATCTTTAAAGATTTCCTTAAAAAAGAAAAAATTTTAATCAAACTTTACCTAAATATACCAAAATGTATTTAAAAAATGCAAAATCTTTTATAATTTTTAAAAACTTCAGGAAAGCTAACAACGATCACTGAAGATCCTAAAGAAAATGTATACCTTTAGACAAAGAATATTTCTCAAGATATGTAGATCTAATTTTTTTCACCATCCTCGGCTCTATTTCTGACAATATATCTTTTTACCCCCCCCCCCCCACTCCTGTTTAATATTTTAGTTAATATTAAGTAAATATTTTATCTTTCAAGATGAAATTAGAGGGAAATTTTATAAATTCGATCAACTGTTATATCGCGTTCTCAATCCCCACCATGAATTCAGCCTTTAATAATTGTAATTTGATTTTAAAATAAGCTGGAAAAGGATGATGATTTAGTTCAAACCGATAGAGGAAAAATTTTGGTTTCTTTAAAATATTCGACAAGCAAACAATGTTTGATAGTAGGTATAGTACGATGTGCCGGTTTAGCTGCTATGGATTCCAATGGTTATTCTGATCCCTTCGTAAAGGTGTAAGTTAATACTCAATTATTATGTTTATTTTTTTTACAGATACGATTATTTATTTTTCCTCATATTTTTACAGTTACCTTAAACCTGACACGGGTAAAAAATCGAAGAAAAAAACGGCAGTCAAAAAAAGGACTTTAAACCCAGAATTTAATGAAGTTTAATTTCTATTATTATTAATTATAATCATTTTTAATGTAACATAACTATATTTATATAGTGGCATAGGGTGTTTAACAACTTCAAGGGTATTGATTTACCCCGGTTTTAGCTAATTCGTAAAAACAAACTCGGGTTTTTGCTAAAAAAATATAGAATTGCTAAACTTCTACACTATGAATTTTTTTTTTTTATCTAATTATCAAAACAAATTAATTGTTAGTTATTTTATAGAACTGACTATTTATTCATAACTTATTTCAGGAATTCGTATATTATTGCAATCTACGAGAATTGGCATCTAAAACATTAGATATTACAGTATGGGATAAAGATATTGGCAAATCTAATGATTATATAGGTAAATAAATTTATTATATTTATTAAAATATATAACCCATATTTGAGACATTCTTAATATTTTAATAACATTATTATATTTTATACAATTTATTAATCTTATCAAAAAACATCATTTTATTGCTTGCCTACAATTTGTCCAGAATCATTTCATTTTTATTGGTTCTTTTTTTAAAATAAATTAGAAATAGAGATCCAATAGAAATAAAGAATATACAAATTATATTGCTTTTGTATACACAGCGATTAATATCGCATCGCTTAAGCAAATACCGCTTAATATAAACTGCGTGCGATGTTTTTTTAAAAAAAAATGTTTATTGCTATATAATTAATCAACTCAGGTGGAATTCAATTGGGTATAAATGCAAAAGGGGAAAGATTAAAACATTGGTTTGAAGCCTTAAAAAATCCAGAGGTTAAAGTTGAAAAATGGCACTCATTGTCTCACGAACTTTTACCCGATCCTGAACAAATACCGGAACAATAATAAATTTCCCTATATAGGCCTCATTTATTATTATTATTTATCTTATTCAAAAGATATTTCACTTATTATATTATATTATAGTTTCTATATGTATAACATGAATTTTAATTACCCTTATATAATCTACAAATGCAATATTAATTTACCCCGAAGACAGTGTATATATTATAAATTTATCACATTAGTTATATAAGTATTATTATTATTATATTGTTTAAACACCGATATAAACATTATGGCTTTTGGAATTAGAGGTGTGCGATGAACCAAATCCACCTGCCTGCTGTTTAAAAATAAATTAATCTACCCGCCTAGAGTTTTTGGGGGAAATATATCACCCATCCTTCTCCTGTTGATTTAAAAATGTTTTACACATCCACGCACTAAAAATAACTTAATTGATTGGTTTGATGCTTTTTATTTTGGTCACTTTTTTTTAAGCGTATGTACACAATATTTTTTTTAAAAAATTAGACACAAAATCATGAAATATTTTAAAATATAATATTTATTAATATTAAAAAATAAGCCACTATCCCCCCCCCACTTTGTCCGCTCTTTTGACAATAATATATTTAAACACTCACCTTTTGCCCCATTGTTTAAACATTTTTTATTCCGCTCACTCGTATATCGCTAGCAGGAGAGAGTGGGTGGACGCGTTAAAAGCGCTAGTTGCAAACTTCCAATTGGAATCGCGATCAATATTATATATTTATTAAATTTATGAAAATGAAACTTATTAAAACTGGCAATAATTAACGATCCATATAGATATTAATTGATAAAATATAACATAATTTTTTGAGTATAATTCTAAATCCAGTACATAAGTTTTAAACAGTGACATTGCTATGAGGGGGTTTAGTTTTTAACAAGCATAATACTACACACAAATTGATCGTTTCGCGTTGCATACAGGGAGGGAGAGGAAGTAAGTTTGTTCAATTACAAGAGTTTGAAAAAAAAATCTTTCACTTATATAAATATTTTAATTTCATCTTGAAGGATTTATTTATGCGTGAAAATTTTAAAATAATTATTTACTTATGAAAGATTGTTGATCAAAAAATCTTTTTCTTTTTTTTAAAAAAAAGAGAGTATAATCTTTAATATTTTGTTAAACTCTGCGCACTTTTTTGGGAATTAAATGAAATTATAACCAATTCCCAATAAAGGAATTAAAATAAAGAGTCTATATTAGGATTTGGAATCTTCCTTCATCTATAATGTAGACAGCAGCTAAAAAGGATTCGCTCACTACTTAACGAATAGCCCCTCATTCGCAGTTAGCATAAAATATTTTGTATTCTTCGCTGCGAATTCGCGCTAACTGTGAATGAGGAAAGTAAGCTGGCAGAGCAAATAAATTTTTGGCGGCTTATTGTGGCCCCTCCTTTTAATTATTTTTAAAAAAAATTTCCAGTTTTTTTAAAAATATACTTCCATTGTTTTTTTTTAATCAGAAAGATAAAAAGAATGGGATGATTTTTTCCAAAGATATTCATATTTTTTTTTATAAATGGTATTTTAAAATTAGATAGTTTTTTCATTCCTTTATATTAATTTTTTATTAAAATTTTTGTGAACTTTTCTATAATATGCCGTGTACTAATTTCGGGGCGATTTGAACCTAAAATATTTGATCGGAACTATAAAAACAGGTTGACGATGCGTGCATAACGTATAGTCAAAAATATGTTTCTTTTTAAGATTTACTATAAAATAAATCTGTATATATTTAAGTTATAAACATGAAACCTTTCGTGACTCATATTTTTGGAAAAAATAGCATTGAGAACGATATTTTTTATAAATTAACCTAAGTATTTGGAGCTTTCAGAATGTATTCCATTATTTTCGGGTTCTCGTAAAACATTTGGTTGGAAAAGGACGTTTACATTGAAACATTTTATGGCTTATTTAAAAATATAGTTAGAATTACAATGGGGAATTGCAGAGATTCTTTACACACTCTTCATGGTGTCCAACAGCTCGCAGGTCTGTCAGATTTCTTAATTGATCGTTTCAATAGTCATATAGGGTCGGGTTAATTTTTTAAAAATAATTTATTTTAAATTTATTCTTACCTTTAGGCAGTATATATTGTTCTTAAAAATATTTATCTCAAATGATTAATATCTTTTTTTAAAAATCGAGCTGAATTAAATTTGCAAACCAATGTATTAACCGCTTTATAATCGTAGGCTCAATTATAAGCAGTAAAATCTCTGAGGAATAGGTAATCGAGTTAAAGCCCCCCACCCATTTAATAAACTCTTATCATATATCTAGGTAATTTTAGAATAAGAAGGTTGACAAGAAGTAGCTTCCCATGCAACTCATTTCCTTTAAAGCAATGAAAAGATATTACTTCCAAAACCAAAAATATATCTTGTCTCTCTTATAAATCTTTGCACATAAAATTTTGTATGTATTTATATTTTGACCAAAATGATTTTAATATGGTATTAGGTTAGTTTCATGATTCTAATGATGATTTAATAATTTATTTTGGATTACTTATTTCGAAGTTAATTTATTGAAAATCATTTTATTTCAATAATAACGCCATTTTTAAATTGTGTTTTAAATTAAATAATATAACTAATGTTAGAGTGAAGATAATATCGTTTGCTTTTAAACATTTGCAGAAGCAAGGTTAAAAGACTATTTTCGTCACAATTATTTTTAAATTTTAATTTCAAATGCCCCGTAAAATTTCGATTGAATTACCATAAGAAAATTCTTGATATATATATATATATATATATATATATATATATAATGAAGGAATGAATAATGTCATAGCCAAACAAACTCACCTAAGCAGAATAAGAGAGGCTACATAGTCATTAAAGTCTAAAGAAGATGTCTTTAGCTTTTGATCTACAGTAATATGTGTTATTTCCATGAATCAATAGAACAATTTTGTCCATACTATAATTCCTGACATATTGAGCCATTTTTAATGTAAAATTCTAGTTTATAAACGCAATTTTATAAGTATATTTAATTATAGAAATAAATAAAATATTTTATCCTATCTTAATAAACTTAATATTATATTGCATAGTTAAAACCGGCCTTATTTTTTTATTTTGGGTAGTACATCTTGCTTACATTAACTTACTAAAATTTAAAAATTATGAAGTTCTGATAAATTTGCCTAAGCTACTACCAAATTTGACTAATCTCTCTTTAGGATTCCACCTTAGTCCAAATCAAGCCCTGGCCTATATTAAATATATATACTAACCCCGTTGCACATATATATATCTAGTGTGAATTTTGAGAGAGCGTAAGTTTCGACTGGAATAAAACCATCTAGCAGTATAATTCAAATGAACTAACCTGGTCTATTTTACCCATTATATCATTAAGAATCTTTAGAATACTCATTAAAAGAAATTGAGTATTTATTTTAAATATTTCCTTCAATAAATTCAACGGTTGCGTTTTCTTTTTTATAATTATGAAACTTATATCATAGTTAAATTATCATTTTATTTAGATATAACATCATTTTCTATATTTCAAACCCGATGGAGATCTTATAGGGCTATAATTTAAAACCTTAAGTTAAAGGTTAGAATTAGTTTAGGGCCACGAACCCACACTGAATCTTGACCCTAGATTTATTTTTATAAACAATCCTCGAGCCTGAAAAATTCATTTATTTTTATCCCTTTAAATCCCGAATTATTTTGAAAATTAAAAAAAATCTTTATTTTCTAAAAATATTTATAAAATCTGCAACAAGAGGATTTCGTTTTAATCATTGAAAATCTTGAAATAGTATATATATTTTATTTGAAATGAAAAGTTTTAGAAAGAAGGCCTCTATAGATGCTAACGCACATCTCGAAATAACGCTAATTTGTAAAACCTTTAATATCATAAACGATACCTCTCTGCAAATATTTGAGCGAAACATCTTATATGAATAGTATGACTAAAAAAATATGTATAGATATGATTTCATAAGAAAATGGGTGGGAGGGGTAGTACAAATCACCCAATTATATATGCAACTTACTTATAAATTTTTTGAAAGACGCTAAAAACTTCTAGTCTTCATGGCTAACCCTAGAATAAAATGTGAAAAATTACTTTTTTAGAAATTATTTATTTTTTAATATATAAATAAAATAGAGTTTTTCTAAAAAAAATAATTACAATTATTTGATTTGTTTTAAGCCGCCATTGTCATTTTAAAAAAATCATTTGAGTAAACAAAATGGTGTCAAGCATATTTATAAGTTTAAAAAAAAATAACAAATCACATTGGTAAAATCAACAATTAGTTGTTATACAAAGTATAAATAATATTTAAAAAAGGAAGATAATCAAGTGACAGGTTCCACCATATCTTTTATTATTTCGTCTAATTTATTGGCAAAAATTTCGAAAGAAAAATTATTTGTCACGTGCTTTACACAATCTTCGGGCTTGATTCTTGTAGAATTTTCAACATCGCCAGAAGATACCTTGTCCCAATCGTTGTAATCTAAATTACATAATTTAAGCATGTATTATATTAATTTCACACGTAGAGGGGCGTGTTTAAAAGTTTATATATAAAACTTTGAATATTTTTTTGAATAAATATTAGATAAACTTTGATAGGGTGATATGATTGTGTTTATTCAATCTCGTAAAAATTACGTCTATATAATTATTTATCATCTTAAATAACTATTTTCTTGATTTTATAAGGTTTGACCAAAGCTTGGCTTTAAAAAAAGGGGGGTGGATTCAGATTGAACGAAATTCTTGAAACTAACCTATAAAATTATTAAAAAGGGTGGTATCCTGTTCGTTTTTTCAAAACTTGCTTCAGTTTAGCTGAGGCTAAATAGATTTTGAACTAGGACACCCATATTGGTTTAGTGCATTAATAAATATTATTTGTAATTTATATATTCTTCGGTATAAATAAACGATATTTACGTAAATCTTAAATAGTCTCTTTTTTAGGCTGTTTAGAGAAAGCTATATATATATATATATATATATATATACATCAACAGATGATTGTTTAAAAATAAGACGAACCAAGACACGGCTTTAGAGTTTAAAATAAAAAGAGTTCGAAGTGGGTTTAGGATTCAGGTTCTCAGTTTTGTTCAAACTCAGCTGATCAATTTTACCGGAAAGCGATTTCTTAAAAGGCACTATACCCTCTTATTACTATTATAACTAAAATAAATTAATTTTTGAATCTTAAATGACAAAAAAAATGACCAATAGTTGAGCACTGATTTAGTCACAACGATAAAATAGTATTTACCTTTAAACATGAATAATAATAATTTAAATATTTTAAAACCTTCTTCACTGTCATTTTTATCGGTTAATTCGCTTTTGAGTAATCTATTTTCAAAGCATTCTTCGGACATAAGATTTTTTTCAAATTCGGAGTCAGGGTTTGCATCTTAAATATGTATGATCATTAGTATTAACATAAAATAGTTGTACCGATATTATTATTATTATAAAATGATCTGATTTCTAAATTTTCATTAAAAACGATATTGAGGATAGAAACCCCTCCCCATTAGAAAATGGTAAATCGGACCACTGTAAAGTGATGATATAGTAAAAGTTAAAGATCTGGTTCTAAAGGCATAAATGGGAAAAGGCTTAGTAGCTTCTAACAAATAACTATAACAATCAGCCGTAGTCATATGGCCGAAGATCGGGAAGCCAAAAAAAAAATTATTCTACCAAAAATGTCTCTACTATCGGTATAATGGTTATTGATGTAAATGGGAGAGGAAGCGGCAGAAGATGAAACCGATTCTATAGTAAGAGACGAGATTTTGCGTTGAAATGGTTCGTCCCGCTGATTTGGGTTATAGTCGTATTCGTAATCTAATGGATATATTGTATTATGTCTTAGTTATTTTATGATAAGGATTCGAGAAATTAAAAAAATATTATTTTACATAACTTTGTCTTGATTTTGTTTTTATATAAAGGTAATCATAATACCTTTATTTTCTCTTGATCTTCATAGCAGTCGCGTCGCTAGGGGGGGGGGCGCAGGGGCTCGAGCCTCCTGAAAAATTCAAATAGCCCCCTGAAGCAAAAATATTTTTTAAAAATATCTCCTTAATATCTCCTTGAACTAAAAATAAATTTTTTGATTGCCCACTGAATGATTTCTTTTATAATTCCATATATAGATATAATTTTATCATTTGGAAATTAATAAGACTTTAAATTTTTATTAAATGAATATTATTTTAATTATTAGATAAGATTAATACATATAAATTATATTTTCACTATGTCAGCTTGCAATCAAATTCTGTATTAAAAATATAATATCAATAATTACATATTAATTTAGCTTTAACAGCTGAAGTTTAATCGACTTTTATTATTTAACCCTAATTAAATAAATATAATCATATATTATTTGAAAATTAACAAATTTAATATTGTAATTAGCCGAGTTCAAAATGACTAATCAACTGTATATTTATTTTGAAATTTTATTATCATATCTTAAAAATATTTTCAAGGTTCAAATAAGTATAAGAGATTTCTTTATAAAAAGTAAGTAGAGATATAGTTTATAATCCTCTACTATATACAGTTGTTTATAAAATATTAGATATAATGACACTTTTATAGACGTATTTGACATTTATATAATATATTTCAGTTAATATTATAATAAATTTTACCAATAAATAATTTGATAATAAATTTAATAACAAATTACATTCCTGTATTTAACGCCATCTATTTAGTTATAAATAATTTTACAAATTAAACATTTTCTTATTCATTCTGCAATAGATGTTATAAATTTGATATCTTTTCTTCTCTTTTTTTACATGTTTTTACCTATTTTTTTCTTTTTCGAAAAACAGTCTTGAGTTAAATTCTTAATACAAGTATATTTTTGATATTATTACAAACTACTATTATTTTAAGATATAATAACCAAGGTGGTGAACAATATATAAAATCTTAATTGTTTCATAATATCATTCCGGTCCTTATTTTATAGTTAGAAAATGTTTCATTTCTAATATGGCATTGCCGTGTAAATAACTCCAGGCTTCAATATATTTGCATAATTATTTCTTCCAAAGATTTTTATGTTTTTATATTATCAATCTGTCCAACATAATAAATTCTGATAGTTTACATCGTGAGTGTCATGTCTATTACTGCAAATTAACCAGCATCTATTATTTGTGTTGCTATGTAATTTAAAATTATTACTATAACGTCGGAGAGCATATAATTTCATATTTTAGATAAACAATAATGGTCAACTGTGTAGTCTTTTATATATCGTTTAAAATGGAAGATAATCTTTTAGAAATTTAATATCTCACAATAATTTTCTTGATTACTTATCTAATAATGTCATCTAAGAGGAAGCTCTAACCACCATATAGTTTTATGATTTGGATTGGTCGTTCATACTCTCTCCTTTAAAAATTGTATATTTGGTTTAGGCCTATAAATTTTTCCTTATTAGTCCATTCTATAAAACATTTTCTAAAATGGTAACAGAGAGTTATACTAGTTTGATAACTTTTGTCAATGTAAGTTGCTAAGAATTATATTATTGCATTATGTGGTTTTTTATATGCCAGTTTATTTTGTATGCATAATATAATAAATGATAAAATATGAAAATAGATAAATTGTTCAGAGTTAACAAATTTTAATAAAGTATAATATATTTATATAAAACCGGACCGAAGGCCCGCAAATAGGGGAATTTTTTTAGTTGAGCCCCCTGAGATTGTGAAGGCTAGCGACGCCCCTGCTTCATAGATAAAGATATAAAACTTACACATTATTAAATTTTTATATTAAATAAGGAGATTAAAGTTAAGGTTGTCGCTTAATGATAATTTCCAAACACGATATATTACATTGTACATTTTTTTGTCCATTAAAAAATCGAATCGTTGCGAAGATTGGATAAAAAAAATCCTAATATTATTAAAACATATTACTAAGTTCTTACCTATACAGTTAATTATTTTCTTAAACCACGGAAGTTTTTAATTTTTAATAAATAAAAATCAAATACCTTCACAAATTCCCGACTTTGCCTTATCACCTTCTTCGCAACCGTTAATGCATTTGAACATTGCCCGAGAGAATTCTTTAGCATCTCCGGGGGGCTTACATAGGTAACCCGTTTTACCGGGCACAATAGTTTCCAACGGTCCTCCATCCGCTATAGCTATAACCGGTTTGCCATGGATAGATGCCTCTAAAGGAACTATGCCAAAATGCTCACCTGTGGGTGTGTAACAAAGAGCGACACATGAGCTTGAGAGAGTTTTAATAATGTAAACATGTTAAAAAATAATTTATCTCCTAACAAATAGAAGCAGACCATTTTCTTTATAAAATTTATCCTCCCCAAACTATTAAAAAAATGGCGTGAGTGGTGTAAGAAAGTAAGATTTCATTTGATTTGACAAAATTTTAAAAAAATTCTGAGGGGGTCGGATTGAAACCGGTTGATTTATGGAATTCACCATTAATATAATTTAATATGATTTGGATCCGGTGGATTGTTTTCTGAGTTTTTGATACAGTTCTAGTAGCGGTTCTAGCAGGAGAAGAAGATGAAAGGAAATGTCGGGTAATAATTATTAACTTTTAATATGGAATAATATTATAAAACCAATAGGACTTGATTTAATATTCCTTATGGATAATGGAGTGAATTGAGGCAAATCAGAATAAGTCTCGAAACCAAGGCCTTCTAACATGGGGGAGAAGCGAATTATTCGAATAATATGGACATTAGATGAATTATTAGAATAATTAATTTATTCCAAATTATTTGCCTAATTTGCTACATTCCAATAATTTGATCGAAAACTCGAATCATTCGGAATGATTAATAATATGTTTTTTAATAAAATTTGCCATTTTTATTAATAACCTATTGATCTAATGGGTGATATGATTAACAAGGTATACTTAAACTCCTCGTGAAAGGCTTTTCTTAGTTGGAACTAATAAGGTGTCATAAATCTCATGTTATTTAAAAGAATAAATAAAAAAAATACTTTTATCTTAAAAATTAGTTTGGAATTATAAATTAAATTAATATGCTTATTAATTTCATTAATAACTTGATCTCATGTTTTTTATTATCAGATTATTATAAATATTTTTTCTTGTTGGAGATTAGATATGCAAAATAAAAATGAAAAATTCTGTCAATATATTTTTATATAAACAATTTATATATATTTTAAAAAAACGAATTATTTGAATTAAATACAAATAGTAAATTTTATTATTCATAAGAATACTAATATTAAATTATTCGATTTAGATAGGATAGGGTTCCTTTGTAAAGGAAAAGATGCAAAACATTTGGTGAATTTTTTATTTATTATAAATAATTATGCAAATATGTGAGCATTTATCAGAAATGATTGTAAATTGATATATTTTTCAATAATATTATAATCATTTATATTCATATACACGTTGTCAGACTCTTTAATTTAAAATTGAAATTGCATAATTTAAAAAATAAAACAATTAACTTAAATCAGTAAATTGTTCTTCAAATATTATAATGAAAATTTATAGAACAAAGGATTCTGCATTTTAAAATAAAAATTATTTAGGATATTTTGTTCACCGGACATTTTTATCGGTCAGTTTATAATCTAACATTTTCGGTTTGCATTATATTATTATTTTAAAAGAAAGAAAAAACATACCTCAATAGAGCGTTTTTTTGGTTATTGGAGATAGACTTGAGGAAAACAATATCTTCAGAAGGGATAAGTTTCAAATCTTCGTAGGCTAGATTGGTGAGGCGAGAGTAAGTCGTCAGATTTTCCGGCAAATTGGAGTCGAAACCACCAGCTATAACCAGACCTAAGCTATCGGGGCTTGAATGACGGTTAGATTGCGAGACGATATGGCGCAAATGAACTTTATATGCAATTATTAAATTACTGTATTAAAGATAAAACGATAATTTCTTGCTTTTCCCTATTGCAAAATCAAAAGAATTCATTTATTTTCAAATGTATTTAAATAAATAATAAATGTAATATAATAAACATGTTAATAAAAGAAGACATTTAGATATAAATTATAAAGCAAGAACATTGCATTATTATAATTGATATGTAAATATTATAAAGAGAAATAGATTATTTTTTTAAAAAACAATTAAAATTAACTACTCCACTTCGCGATCTACAGAGGTCAATTGTTTTTATAAATGATACGCTAAAAAATCTTGTCAATTTAAAGTAATAGGAAACCATATTTTTGATGTTACCATAAAAATATATAATGGGAAATATCTGACCTAATAAATTTAGGCATATAAATAAATTTTATGACTAGTGACCGGGTAAGAGTGAACAACAGACGGATCAAAATAGGTTTTCTCCCAGGGTAAAGCTTTTTGTGAAACTAAACTATTCACTAAATGGTAAAATTTTATATGTTTTCTTTGCATTCCGATTCATTTTAAAGAGAGATGAGCAATTTTTGTGTTTGTAAAAAAAGGCTGATTTAATCATTAAGCCCTTAGTATATTTAGTAAAATTAATTGAACACTTATTTCAACAAACTATGACTCTTTTTAACTTAAAAATATACTCGGTATTTATAATATGGTGCAATCAATTTTGAACATAAAATCTTCTATAAAATTAAATATTTGGAAAATAAAATTAGATTATCGTCAGTCACACTGCAAAACTTCAATATTTTCAAAATTGTTCAGGTGAATTAAAAAAAAAAACTTTTTTTCAAATTAGTACATTTTAATAAGAAAAGCTAATAATCATTTGATTAAAAAAAACATGTTTTATAGTTAAATATCACAAATTATATTTTATTATTGAAAAATAATTACCCCATTGCAGGGTTGTGTAACCGGTCAAATACGATTCAGTCAATTGACTCAAATAAATGTTTTAAGACAATATAACCCTTATAATAGTAAAATGAATCTACTTTAAAATATTTTTTAAATTAATTTTCATCAATCCCTTATATATATTTAATAGTAAAATGAATCTACAATATTAAATTTATAATATTTTTTAAATTAATTGTCATTTAATAACTAATGTTTCACTGCAGTCTTGTTTGTTCTTATTCAAATTCAATATTTATAATCAATTTCCCTGTTGTCGAGATCTTCGATTGATTTTTGTTTCAGTAAGAATGTTAACCCGAATTGACCAATTTCTGAAGAAGAAGTATAAATAGGGATTTCTAGTAAAATGTAACTTTTATTAATTGGTGAGCAAAGCTAATTCTACTAACTTGAGACTGGAATCTGATTGTTTCTTATGGAAGTTACAGCCTGATTGTTTCTTATGGAAGTTATTTGCTGTGATCACATGTATTTATATTGTTTGTTTCTTTTTTCAAACATATTTTCTTTTTCTTCAGATTTTTTAGAGTTTTGACCTCAAATAGTCCTCCAGTCATTTGACTGAATTTAACTGGTCAATTGACCAATTTGCCAACCCTGCCCAAATGTGATAAAAAACATTTTTCCTATCTTATTAATTTCATGTTTTTAGGTAATAATATATAGGTTTCTCTAAAAATAACATTTTTGAAAAAATATCACATATATTAGGTTTTGCAATGATTTGGCAATATGTTTATAATTTTAAAAAAATATAATATTTGTTCCATTTTATATTTTAAAAAGTTAATAATCTTTCCAAATTTCATAATGGAATATTTCTAGCACATGATTCAAGAGATATAATAAAATTATTATTGCAATATTGGATTAGAAATATCAGGTTTAAAGCCAATAATGATATTATAATATTTTTTTAAAAACTAATTTAAAAAGGCTCAAATTGAATAAAAAAATATTTAAGAATTCTACAGTTAATTAATAAATATGGATTCTATAATATATAATTTAATCTCCATATTATTAACCATTATAATATCTTAATCTCTCCCCAATATTATTCTTGCTCCTTAAATACACCCCCCCCCCCCCAAATTATATTTGACATTATATATGACATGCTTAGAATATATCTTACAAAAGGCACGAAGGACTAGGTCAATATTCTTTTTCCTTTCATATCTATTTAGAGAGAGAAATATATGGTCTTTGGGAATTTTAAACAATTCTTTTATATACAAATCATCTGCATCTGAACACTTATAATTCAAACATTTTTGAGATATACAAGGATAAAGTACATCCAACTTTTTTTGAAAATACTTATTATTGTGAAATGTTTGTTTGACAATAGAAGCTTAACCTTAAAATAATATAAAATACAAAATATATATTTTACCAGTATAGTTGCTATTGACAATTAATTTATCTGCATATGACATGGATATCTCTTCCAACCAATCTAAAGGGTATCTATAAAAAAATTTGAGCCAACTATCCCTTTGCGATAATAAGAGATCTGGAAAATGACAATAGAACAAAACTTTATAACCAAATAATTTAAGCAAAGGCACACCAACAGGAATTTGATCACATATAATCAAATCACTAAATATATTATTATATATAATATACAATGTTAAAAATAGGAATCGGAGGTATGCAAAACAAGCATAAAAATAATGATAAAATAATTTCCGAGGAATCCAATCTCCTACAACTTTTATATCCAATTGTGTTTTAGTTTCATCAAAGCAATGATTACGATTATAATGATTAGTATATATTTTAATTTGATGATTTTTAGTTTTAAGAGCCAATGCAATATCAATGATAAGTCTTTCAGCCCCTCCTATGCCTAAATCTGGATGAAGAATAATTATTTTCATTTTTTATAAACCATATGATAGTGGATTGTTTAAAAATATAATAATATAATAAAGTGTTAGGCTTATCCTATTAATAAAAAAAAATTGATATCAATAAAGCTAATTTTCTAATAACACATAGGTATGTAAAGTGTTGTAATTAAAGTTTTATTTTGTTATAAATTTCGATGTAATGTCAAGAAGATTTCAATAAATTAATATTCAGTTTATTGAAGTTTTGATGAAGATGAAATAAAAGATTCTATTGTTCATTAAGTTACAAAATATATAATATTATAATAGCCTCTCTTTGGCACCGTTTATAAAAATTTGGTCAAAGGGATAACAAAGCGTAAATTAAACTACCAGGAAAGCAAGCGAATTTTTATTTGAGATAAAATATTAGTATTTGAAAATGAGCGGAATTTGTCTGTTTTTTGAAAATGCTTGTGCCAAATTTTAAAAGCTATTTGTCAAAAAAAATTACTAGTTAAAATCAAAGATAGATTTGTTAATCTATTACTATTCATCCTATGGAGTTAAACTATGAAAAATTTTTGGCTTGGTTCTTCAAATTTCAAATTGGCGTTTTTGTCTTCCTTTTCCCATAATCAATGTTTTTTATTCAAATTTCTAGAGCTATATAATATTTTAATTATATTTTAAAATCACTATTCATTTAAAATTAATTACCCGTATTAAATTGAGAGACCTGAACTTAATTTCTAATATTTTATTAACTAAAACCACCAAAAATATTTAGAACTAGTCTTGTTAAATAACTATATTTGAGTCGAATTTTAAAAACGGCTTACTAAATATTTATCCAGAAATCACGCAAGTCTGAAGATTTTTCTCATAGATGGTACAAAAGTTTGGACACCTATTAACGAAATCACGAGGCTTAGGCAATGCATATCTTCTGGCTTGGCTAATTACAATCTGATTCAAATTTAATAAAGTAAAAGGGAAAAAGGCATATATTGTTTTGTGTAACCTTAAAATAGTGAAACATATAATTAAAACTTATAATAAAAAAAAATAGAATTTACGATAAATGATTATTTTAATATAAATTGGAATTAGTTCTTTCTTAAAATTTATTAAAATAAAGATCAAAAATTGCCTTTTTTTATAGCAACGTATAAAATAATTAGATTGTAATAAGAATTATAAACAAATTAACAATAAGTATAACAGAATATAGATACTTATTATAGACTAAATTTGATATTTATGATTTTTTTTACCTATATAATATCTCGGTCAAAACAACGTATCAATCTAATTTTGTTTAAGTTAAAATATCTTAGGGTATCAAAAGCCACGAATTTGGGTTAAGTAAAGATATCTCTCACGACATTTCACTTATTACCTTACACCAATTAAATTGGTTTTTTGAACACCTGAAGAGAATATAACTGCACCAATTACATAGGAAAAATTATTGGAAGGTAAGTGAAGAGGAAGACTTGGGACGAAATGGTAGGGTTATTAGACAAAAATAAATGAAAATTATGATAAAGAACGATAAGTGTAGATTTTCATATCTTTTTCCTCTAAATAATATATCCAAAAAATAAATAATTAGATTTTTAAAAAAAACAATTATGGTTAAATTAGAATAGACCCATAAATATTTTGGTAAGAGTAAGACTTAAATCTTTTTCCACCCGTCGAGATAAAAAAAATTAGAAGAATGTTTTTCTTGGTTTTATAAGATTAAATAGTATACTATTATTTCAATCAAATAAATTTATAATCTTTAATTAGTAAAATTATTTTGGAATGAAGATTTTATTTTATATTAATTAACAAGAAAAATAGCTCAAGAGAGGCTCCAATTATCAAACTTTTTACCTATTTTTTAAGAGTAGATTAAAATCAATTTTCCATATGTTGAAAGGGCTTGGTTGCAACCTGCTTGTATAAAATATTAATAATTTTTATGATTTTAATTAGAGATCTGCAATGTCAAACTCGGTACCAGGCTCATGTCATAAAATATTTTTGGGCCAGAACGGTTAAACAAAATTAACAGGATGAGGCTGGGCAAAAAAATTATTGAAGGATGACAATACAATCTAGACCATAATTAATATTTTTTGCTCATATTATAAATTATAACATTAAATTTATAATTTAATCTTAAAATATGGTCAAATCATCTATTTGATAGAAGTTACAATCCATAAAAGTTTAGTATTTTTTTAAAATTTAACAAGCTGTTTATTGATGTTCAACAATATTTCGGGTTAAGCTTTGATTTAAAAAAATAGTTAGACTAAATAAAAAATTTGGCATGCCGGATGAAAACTAAATCCCAGCTGGGCCAAGCATAAAAATTTTGCTATTTCCAGATCTATCGTTTTAATTAATCTAAACTGATCATTTTTAAAAATAAGCTTTGATAACATACTATAAGTTTATTTCAAGTCATATTAAATATATAATATATATTAATAATCTATTTTGATAAAAAAATAACATTATAATCTAAATAAATAAATAGTTTTAAAAAAATAGAAAAATATTCACAAAATGCTAGGTAAAATTTTAAAATGATTCATGATTAGATTGGATTGTTAGTTTATAGTTAAGAATTCCTGCGCAATGATTGAAACCATTTAAAAACGGTGGGAAATTTTAAAGGGTCAATTTCAACATCCCCAGTTGTGTTAAAACATCTGAAAACGTCATAATCCAATTTTGACGGCGAACTCCCCCCTTTAATGTACATAGTTTTTGCAGGTTTCATTGTCGATAACTTGTCACCAGCAAAAGGTGTTGATGACACCATAAACATATTTGATGACTCATAAGTTGGGATATTAGAAATCAGGGATTGGGTAGGAGATTGGGATGGAGTATAAAAGGCTTCTTCGCTACTCGACGATTGTGGCTCGTCATCTTTAAAATCTACGGGTGAACTATTAGCAGTCGAGAATCGATTGAGTGTTAAAGAATTAAAAATGCGTTTGGAAGAAGAAGTGATTATGGAAGAGATCCCGCTACCTATGGTTGCTTTAAACGATCCACGGTCAGTCGATAAAATGATCTTCTTAGTGGGGCTTCCATCTCTGGTTTTGTTCCTGAATTCTATTTCGCATTTTGGTAGCATGTGGTTATCTCGATTTTTTAAGGTATTTTGGCTCTCATCATCAATAATTAATTTAAATGGCAAAAGCTTGGAAATTCTTCTTTTTAGAGGAGACACGAATGATCTTGCACTATAAGTGGTCTTTAAACACTGTTTGCTATCATTGCCATTGGTACTGGAAGGTGCTGTTTGGATAATACCGTTGGCAAGAGACAATTTTTCAAAATCAGAGCAAAGAGATGTTTCAAGAATATCGCCACTGGTTGCTTCGCGGGGGGTTCGTTCAGAGGAGTTTTTTAAGGCATCGCCCACCTTAAAATCATTATCAGTCAAAGCAATATCTAAATCGGAGACTTGAGGTTTATTATTGGTTGTTTCCTGACTTTCCAAGTCGATTTGTTTCAAAGAATTCAAGAAATTTAAAGAAGGCTCCTCTATATCTTTTTCCTCCACGTCCTCATGACTGCTACCCCTCCAGGTATCGAATTGTTCATGATTATTAAGTAATCTATGGATAAAATTTGAGTCAGAAAAAGTTTTAAAGTCGCTTTTGGTAGGAAACAATAGAGGTTGTTCGTTATCATAAGAATTGAAGGATGATGATAACAAAGAAAATCCGTCTAAAAAATCATGCTTATCAAACTCATCCCCTTGGCTGGATTTATCGAGAGCAATCATCGTTTCAACATGCTTGAGGTAATTTTCGAATTTCACTTAATTCGCAATAAACGAGATATTTAATTATTATATAATTTTCCTTATGATAGAATAGTTATAATACAATATAAGAATAAAAATCAATTTCAAGGTAGTATGGTGTGGTGATAATAATATTGTAATTTTTTAAAAAATGTAGATTTTACTCAATCCTTTGGGCGATGCGATATCCTCCAACTTCAATTTTTCAGGCAACGTATTAAAGAGCGACTGGCTTCCATCATTAGTAGCAATGTCGGTTGTAGATATATGGGAACCTTGACTTTCGGATATAGAGTCGCTATAGAGACTAACGTCATTATAGCTTGCAGAAGGATAATCTATATATATTAATTACTATATCCAAATATTTTTAAAAAAAATTAAACCAAAATTTTGAAAATTCAAAAAATCCCATCTTTCTGCCCATGGGACGTTCATGGATTTTGCAATTGATCTACCATGTATTTCTAAACCTTTCTCCGGATCTTTAAGAGTAATGTCTGTTATATTTTTTTCAAATGTAAAAACAAGATGCATAAAGTAAAAATAATGTTAGGGTTGGTATTAGAGGTCTGAAATAGCGAGTTTTAACTCAGATAGTTTTTTTTAAATTCAACCGCCCACCCTTTGTCTAAAAATTGTTTAACCTGCTTAACCCAATGTTTAAGAATTATTTTAGTGGTTGATTTGGTTTTTTAGGGATGTACCAAAATTTCATATCGGATGGGGGAGATAATTCGCCTTTTTCAAAATATCGGTTATCGGCCGATATTATAAAATTTTCCGATTCGATATCAATAAAAATATTTTATATACTTTAAAATTAATGAATAAAACTATAACTGATCCTTATAATATATTTAAATGACAGTATGAGATGAGTCGATGTATGTTGTGTTGCAAAATAGCTCCATCTGAGCCTATTTCTAAAATCAACTAACTCAATATTTTAGCCAGAAAAATATTGCTTAAATCTAGAGATTTCGTGAATAATGCAAAACTTTGTGCCATCTATGAACAAAATCTTCAGGCTAGCATAATATTTTTCTGGATAAAATACTGAGTAAGCCGTTTTTATCGATTGGCTCAAATGAAGCTATTTTGAACACTAGATGTATGCATTACAAATTAAAACGATAGTATATTTACAGAATACAAAATCACATGATATCAGATCAGTAACGATATCAATTTAATATCAGTAGTATCGGATCGGCCTCCAAAAAGTGGTATCGGTACACCCCTAGTTTTTTGTTTATTTTAAACTATTTTATATTCTTAGTTAAATTTCTAAATATTTTTAATAAATAAAAATCTATTCTGATCATTTCCCTCGAATTTAAAATTCACCCGCCTATTGTTTTAAAGGTGTTTTTTAATCTGTCAACTTACCCATGCAATGAAAATCTTTTAGGGGATAAAATCCCACCCATTACCGACTTCATTAACATATTAATTTTAAATATATTTTTTGAATAACAATAACGGTTAAATCAATTTTGTCCTATTTTAAATAAATATTTTCTTCTATATCAAATTTTACTCTATTTTGCATAAGTTCTTAATGGCTAAATTTAATAACTAAATAATTTCTGTGATAATTCTGAAATGAAAAATTTAATATATTTTAAATTTAAAGAATCTCCATAGATATCTCAATCTGCCCTAATATTAAAAATAATAATAAAACATAGTTAATATTGAAATTATTTAAATTATATGCTCAAGAATATATTAATAATAGTGAAAATGGGTTAAATATTATAATAGATAATTATATAACGCACTTTTTAGTTCAATACTACTTAAATGAGCGTATGTCTAATTAATAAAATTATTATATTTAGTCATAGAAAGTTTAAAATCGTAAATATTATAAAAGATAAAAATTTTTTAGTTTTTATATTAATAAAAAAATTGTAATTTTGCCAACCCTATAATTCATTGTTTTCATGATTTTTTTTAAACCTAGAGATGTGGTGATACAGGAAGAGAGAATGGACGAATTTGACTTATCCGATAACATATTTGAACTTTTAATAGAGGATTTTTTGCTGTAACTATCCTTCCGAGTCTTGTTCCAAACGTTATAAAATTCAAGTGCCTTATATGGATAAACATTATTTAGTATTATAATTATAAAGGAAAAGTATAATATTTAAAATAAAAGTCATTTACTTTGGAGTAAGGCATAGGCCCAGCCAAAGCATCGATTTTTAGAAAGGAAAAATCAGTATTCGTTTGACTATTATTCAAAATTGAATTGCTGGAATTAAGATGAGTAGAAAAATGACTAGTTAATAATATTTCCTCTTGGTCGAAGATTATTTTTTTGCGACTACTGACTTGAGATTCACGAAAAACGTGGTCTCTACAGTGAAATCTGTGATTGTTTCTAAGCTGAATCTCATTTTGTCTATCGTGAGATGTTTCGTTTGGCATTTTATCGCGAAAATGGAAAGGCTTGCCAATTACGGGGGACGGATTATTGGTTAACCATTGAGAACATTCTATCTCGGCATTGTACATGCCATGAGAGGTAATGAAAAATGGTACAGAGCCTACGTCATCTCGTATAACTGGTACGTAATAAGGATCTTTCAAAGATAATTATTTTAAATTAACTTTCCTGCGAAAATACAATTAAAAAATATTATGACACCCCTATACATGTCATAGGGGTAGAGCAAATCTGGTGTTGGCAAAATTTTTAAAATGTCAAATCATTTAAAGTGGGCGTTATTTTGAAATACCTGTTTTTTCTAAAAGGAAATAGAAGAAATTGAAAATAAGGAAATAGAAAGAAACGAAAGGAAAAAAGAAGAAATTTAAAAAAAGGGAATTGAAGAAATAAGAAAGGGAATAAATGGAACTTGAGGAAGAAGAAACTAAAGAAATTGAAAATAAGAGAAAGGAGGATAGGAAAGAATCGAGTTTAAAGGAAAAAGAAATTAACAGATTGGAAATGGAGAAAATAAAAGATGTGGAGGGACAAATTAAAAATTGGAAGATTGAAACAGAATTTAATTGTGAAAATAATCGATGGCAAAACGTGTATCGAGGTGAAAATCAAAGGAGTCAGTCGATAATGGGGCCAATTGGAATGTGTTTTACCGGTGAAAAATATGGTCAAAACAGCAAAGAATGTAATGAAAGGGTAATTCAGAGGCTACTAAATGCTTGTGGAAGATGTGGTAATAAGGGTCATAGTTTAGAAAATTGAATTATAAAGCAGAAGATACACCTAAAATACTATATTGTAAAAAATGTGGGAAAAGGGGATATACCTAATACAAATTATATGATATATGAGCAAGGAAGGGCATTTCCAGCGGTTAAATCCATCGCACCGTATATATATTTAAGAAATATACCAGAGAAAGGGAAAATGTATGGAACAAAGTATGATAGAAAGAATGTATTGGATATAACATGATGTAGAGAAATAGGACATTATGCAGTAAATTGCCCAGATATTTGAATGTATGGTAGCGAAATAGAAAGATAAAAATTACTACACTGGGAAGATCTTAATCAAATTAATAATAATAATAACAGAGTAAATAAAAATTAGTGTATTATAATAAAATAGTCTGAAAGGAAGGAAAATGAAAATAATACTTATCCGATTTATAAAAATGAGTTAAAAGAGGTGAATAATGTAGTTATTAAAAATTGTATTATCTACAATCGTAAAATTAGAAAGAAATGTAAAATATCAGGAATACCGAGATAAATTAAAGATTTGTATAACAAAAAAATGAAATAATAGAAAATAAAGCTCCGGTGAATTTTAAAATGGAAATTGTGAAAATCACTATTTTTAAGATTCTGAAGAAACAAAGGTTGCAATTTTAGAAATAAATCAAGATGAAATAAAGAAGAATGAAAAAATGATAGATCAAAGTAAAGAAATGTATGAAATACTAAAAACATCAATAAAGGAGGGAAATGTTAATAAAATGGGAAATTAATTTTTGAAAAATAAAGTTTGGGAGATTATTAAAAATTCTGTAGATAATATTTTGGAAATTCTGAATGATACAAAGGTTATAAATTTTAAAGTAATTTAGATTCGATAATATTTTTAACGAGAATATGTTAACCGATGTTAAAGAAATTGAAGAAATTCTCCAGTTAGAAAATATTATCAGCTTGGAAACTAATGGGGTTGATATAAATTTGGAAATTGAAAATGAAATAAAAGGAGAAAATTCATTGTTAGAATGTAATAAATAATATGATAAAAGTTAATATAATATATAAAGGCCTGTGTTACAAGTAGAAAAACCTTTGTAGGAATATAATAATATAAGTTAATGAAATATATATAATTAAATTGTGAGATTCAGAAAATGCCTGAATCACAAATATTATAGACGATATTTATGAGGAAGAAAAATGTAAAGAACAAAGATCGGGAAATAAACTATAAAAGTGGAAAAATTGTAAACTTTGAAAGATGCGTGAATAACAACGGAACATTAAAGTCTCAAGAACAAAATAAAATCGAAGGAGCTTCAGTGTTGCGTTTCTGATTGTTTTTATATCTTATATGTTCTACCGTGGCAATTTTATTTTGGAGGTTAAAGGATTAAAAAGAAAATTATATAGGAAGTTGTGAGTGTAATTAATTTAATAAAGATTTCAAAAGGATAAATTAATAAAAATATGGGGGTCAATATGCAAACGTTAAAATGGTATGAAAGAAAGTTATTAATGAGGGAATGCTATCAATAGTTTAATTCCTTGTGAACATGTTCATAAAGACAGGGTTCGATTGAAATTAACTAGATGAAATCTCGGAATATGTAAGTCGCTTAAAATTGTGAGTAAAATTAATAATAAAAAAAACGTGAAGGAAGAGAATTATTTTATCAAATGAGAAATGAAAATTCAAATAGTAGATCTAAAATAAAAGTCCATGGTTATTGAAGACGTAGTTTTCAATCCATATCTACAATACTTAACAAGAACATAAATCTGGCTAGTAATAAATAATTATTACAACGGATGTAAACAATTTTATAATCAATAATCAAACCACATTAAAGATCGATACAATATCAAGACGACAACCAATTACAATAACAAAAGATATAAACTTTCGTATAAACCGCCAAAGTAAATAAAAAAAACAGTTTAATATCAAGAGGACATCAACGATGTAATCGACGCTCTGACTTAAATGTAACAATGCCTTAAGGGCTATTATTGGCGATCAGAGAGCGTGTAGGAAGAGAAAGCATAAAAATAATTCTTGAACTATAGGTGGCTATTTATTAAATTTTTATATTCTCTGATTAATTTATTTTTATAGTTACGAGTAAAATGTATCATTTTGCCATGGGTTTCTGATTTGGGTTAATTGAATTTTATTTACAATGTTTTCAAGGAAATATTTTTTTTCGTTTTTATATAAAAAAATTATTAAAATATATTCGCATCTTTATCATGTATAATTACATCATGCTATATTATATTCATTTCTGCTTGATATGATTAATTTTAATATTCGTTTTTTTCAAATATTTAAAGAATTCATTATTCCTATAAATTATAGGTCCAATTTTTTTTTATAGAATATAATAAGATTTAAGTAATGGAGATTTATAACCAGCCCAATGCCCACAATCATCAAAAAGAAATATATTAGACTTATTATTATTTTTACAACCTCCAGGAATATTTGATAAAATATTTTTTGGATTTTTTAAAATATTTATAAAAATTTACCGTAATTTTTATTATTAACTGCTATTATTTGATTATTGTTTAAATTTAACATGTTATTAATTGAAAATTTTTTCACAGATGGGTCGTAATTATATTTTTTTATTGTTAAAAAATTATCACTTAAGTTGTCATAAGATTAATCAAAATCAAAATTAAACTCACCAGTAAAAGAATATTTTTTATATTATTAACTGGTAAAGATAATGTAATTAGTGATCTGCATCGGGCCTAATTTTTCAAGCCTGGCACGGTACGAAATTTTTTTTAAAAAAAGATTTGCCGGCCTGGCCCGAACCCTAAATTTTTTTAAAAAAAATTTAACGACACGGCCCGAATTTATTTAAATATAGAAAATAATTTTTATAATTACTCAAAATAAAAGACATATGTTATATGTCGTTTAGTTTTATTAAATAAATCAAATATTTTAATTTTACATAAAAAATTCAATATAAAATTGATAAATTTAAATATATTTTAAAAAAATTTCAAGGTCCGACCCAACCCAGCCCGAATTTTTTTAAAAATATTAGGCCCGGCCCGAACCCGATTATTTTAAATAGAATTAGGCCCGAGCCCAACTTTGCAGATCTCTAAATGTAATATCTAAATCATAATCCACACAAGATATATCGTTAGTATTTTCATATTCAACAAAAGAAACACTTTTTATCATTAATTGATAAAGATAATGTTGATTATAAATCTATCGCCCAAATTATTATGTATATTAACACTTAAGTTGTCATAAGACTTATCAAAATCATCTTGTAGAAGATACATTTTTGATATTATTAATTAATAATGACAATGTAGATTTTAAATCAACCAATTCATTATCTATTATTTCACAAGACATATCATGAATAGATTCAAAAGAAAAAATTGTTTATATCATTGGAATCTCTCTTATTCTTTAGATCTTTTAAAGGTGGTTGAGCTAATGAAATGGGTTTTACAAAGCAAAATGGTTAAATAATTTAATTTATGTTTTAAACAACGAGACCATATTAGTATTAATTTATATGGTGTTTGTTTTCTAATATCCCGTCCATATATTTTCATCGTATAAGGGTTTTCCATTAAAACATTATCACTACCAGAAGGATAAAAAGTAGAAATATCAGTTGCAGCACTTATAGCATATAAGTGCTTTCAATTTGTCATAGTTTTAAAAACATGATTCATAGACTCACAATTATTGTTGACAAAAATTATTTTTTAAAGGATAATAAACATATTCAAAAAGATTACTTATTTTAGTAATTAAGAAATTTATTATAATTTAAGTTTTCACAATATTTTACTAAGGAGCCCATTCTAAAATTAAATATTTCATAACTATCTGCAAGAAATTATATTATTTATCATGGTTGCATACACATCTTGCTTATTTTGTAAAAACGATTTAATATTCTTTTTAAGATGCTGAGAACATAATAAATGGGTTGATTTTTCAAAAACTTGCTTTAAACTTTTAATCAAAGATAATTCTTCATCAGAGCCGAATATTAAATTATGAACATTTATTTTATTTTTAAAAAAATCTGATTTTAATTCAGAAAATTTTTTAGAAAAGGTAGTCGTATCTGAATCCGCATGTAAAAATTGGACCTAAAAATATAGGAAAATCCTTAGTTTTAGCTCTTCTGACACATTTATGCTTAAAAACTAAAGATGTAACGTAAAGATCGCCAAGATTAAAAGTTTTATCAATACCTATAATGCTCTGATTATCAAATGAGCACTTGAATTTTAAATTTTAATCATAAAAGGAGTGTATAATATTAAAGACGGGACTTTATCTTTATCATGTATAATTACCTGGATAAAGGGATGGGTATGAATTTGATTAATAATTTCTAACATATTATCAGCAAAATTAGGATAAATTTTATTTGTAAATTAATTTTATTTTTAATATTGTAAATTTGTTTAATATTTCTTGGTGAATTAAAAATATTATTATTTCTTATTAAATCATTATATATAAATCTAGTAAGTTTGTGCATTTTAATAGAATTTTTAATATTATCAATTACACTAGCTGGAGTGCGAATATAAGAATTATTATATTTTTTTAAGTTACCATGACTAGCAGGCCCTGGGTAAGTCTTTATATATTCAACAAGAAAACAATTATAAAAAACTAAATGTGATGCTTTAGTCATTGGATAAATATAACTTATTTTTCTTTTAAAATTTTTAGAAGCCTTTAAACACTGTAATATCTATGTAAAATTGTCATTTTATTTTCATTTGGGCGTGGTATAATTAATTTTAATATTCGTTTATTTTCAAATTAAATATCTATAAAGAATTCATTATGCCTATAAAATTAAAGGCTCTATTGTATGATTTTTTTCTAGAATATAATAAGATTTAAGTATCCAAGGCCCACAATCATCAAAATAAATAAATTTATTATTATTTTTATTAATTAAATAAAATTTATCATTTTACAACCTCCAGGAATATTTGATAAAATATTTTTTAGATTTTTTAAAATATATATAGCATCTAATACATTAAAAAATTTACCGTAGTTTTCATTATTGACTATTACTTGATTATTGTTTAAATTTAAAATGTTTTTAATTGAAAATTTTTTCAAAGATGTGTCGTAATTATTTATTATTTACTTTTTAAAAAAATTACCACTTAAGTTGTCATAAGATTAATCAAGATTAAACTCACAGTAAAAGAATTTTTTTTATATTATTAACTGGTAAAGATAATGTAATATCTGAATCATAATCTACACAAGACAGTTAGTATTTTCATTTGCAACAAAAGTAACATTTTTTATATAATTAATAGGTAAAGATACAGTTGAATCTATATCTAAATCGCCTAAATTATAATTTATATTAACACTTAAATTGTCTGAAGAATTATTAAAAGATACATTTTTTATATCATTAATAGGTAAAGATAAAGTTGAATCAAAATCGATGAAATTATTTTCTATTATTTCACAAGATATATCTTGTGTAAACTCATCTATAATAAAGGAATTATTATTAATATTATTAGAAATATTATCTTTCTCTACATCTTTGAAAGGTGGTTGGGCCGATGACATGGGTTTTGACAAAACATAATGGTTAGATATATCATTTAATTTATAATTTATAGAACAACTGGACCACATTAGTTATAATTTACACGGGGTTTGTTTTCTACATATATAAAAAATGTTACTTTTGTTGCAAATGAAAATACTAACTGTTTTGTGTAGATTATGATTCAGATATTACATTATCTTTACCAGTTAATAATATAAAAAAAATTCTTTTACTGTGAGTTTAATCTTGATTAATCTTATGACAACTTAAGTGATAATTTTTTTAAAAAGTAAATAATAAATAATTACGACACATCTTTGAAAAAATTTTCAATTAAAAACATTTTAAATTTAAACAATATTCAAGTAATAGTCAATAATGAAAACTACGGTAAATTTTTTAATGTATTAGATGCTATATATATTTTAAAAAATCTAAAAAATATTTTATCAAATATTCCTGGAGGTTGTAAAATGATAAATTTTATTTAATTAATAAAAATAATAATAAATTTATTTATTTTGATGATTGTGGGCCTTGGATACTTAAATCTTATTATATTCTAGAAAAATCATACAATAGAGCCTTTAATTTTATAGGGATAATGAATTCTTTATAGATATTTAATTTGAAAATAAACGAATATTAAAATTAATTATACCACGCCCAAATGAAAATAAAATGACAATTTTACATAGATATTACAGTGTTTAAAGGCTTCTAAAAATTTTAAAAGAAAAATAAGTTATATTTATCCAATGACTAAAGCATCACATTTAGTTTTTTATAATTGTTTTCTTGTTGAATATATAGGGACTTACCCAGGGCCTGCTAGTCATGGTAACTTAAAAAAATATAATAATTCTTATATTCGCACTCCAGCTAGTGTAATTGATAATATTAAAAATTCTATTAAAATGCACAAACCTACTAGATTTATATATAATGATTTAATAAGAAATAATAATATTTTTAATTCACCAAGAAATATTAAACAAATTTACAATATTAAAAATAAAATTAATTTACAAATAAAATATATCCTAATTTTGCTGATAATATGTTAGAAATTATTAATCAAATTCATACCCATCCCTTTATCCAGGTAATTATACATGATAAAGATAAAGTCCCGTCTTTAATATTATACACTCCTTTTATGATTAAAATTTAAAATTCAAGTGCTCATTTGATAATCAGAGCATTATAGGTATTGATAAAACTTTTAATCTTGGCGATCTTTACGTTACATCTTTAGTTTTTAAGCATAAATGTGTCAGAAGAGCTAAAACTGGGGATTTTCCTATATTTTTAGGTCCAATTTTTTACATGCGGATTCAGATACGACTACCTTTTCTAAAAAAATTTCTGAATTAAAATCAGATTTTTTTAAAAATAAAATAAATGTTAATAATTTAATATTCGGCTCTGATGAAGAATTATCTTTAATTAAAAGTTTAAAGCAAGTTTTTGAAAAATCAACTCATTTACTATGTTCTCAGCATCTTAAAAAGAATTTTAAATCGTTTTTACAAAATAAGCAAGATGTGCATGCAACCATGATAAATAATATAATTTCGTTTAATTATGACCAAATAATATAATAAAATATTTTATAAAAAGTCTATTAATTTTTTTAAAATTGTGATCTAATATAAATTCTACTAAATAAGTTAAAAATATAATGAACAGATTGAAAGGATAGTAGCTTAGTAATGAGTTGGCTAAAGAAAAAATAAGCATGAGGAAGATAAATTATAATTAAGATGGTTAAATTGTAATAAGCGATAATGTAAATAGGAAGTCACAAATATAGAATACCCAAGCTGTGAACTTCACAACAATTTTATAATAAGCTACATATAAATAAATAAAATATATAAAATCATGGCAAAATTGTTTGAAACTTAGAAGGTAGGTACTCTATACATTTTGAATACGATTCTGGCAAAATCAAGTCTTATAATAAATAAAAAACTCACTATAAATTATTTAAGTTTTAAAAAAATGCTAAAAACCTAGATATATGTAGTCCCTTTAAGACATACATATACATAAGTAATTATGGTATAACTCAACAAAATTGTTGTTACAGCTGATTTATTTAAATTTCCATTCGTCATTATTAATAAAAAAATGATGTAATTTTATTAACTACCATTTTTAATATATCGTATACTCCTTACTTCAGATATTTATTTAGCGTTAAATATATTTTATCTAATTAAAAAAATCTCCTTCAGTTGAACATTCCTTGAAAGTTCTTGGTCATTTAAAAATATATATAGGGCTAAATAATACCTTCCAGCAAATCCTTGATCATTTGTAAGACTTTGGGTTTGTCATTACCAGTATACCTGTCACATATAACCTACATCATTTTAGAAAAACTCGATTTAAAATTTTATTTTAAATTATGTAATATCATTTGTAATGTTGTTAAACGGCTCGTTTAGAGCCGATTTTTAAAAACAGCTAACTCAATATTTTAGCCAGAAAAATATTACCTAAGCCTCGGGATTTGATAATATATGTCTAGATCTTTATTCCTTCTATGAACAAAATCTTCAAACTTAAGTAATAATTGATAAAAAATTAGTTAGTCGTTTTTAAAAATCGGTTCAAAACTTACGTTTAACAACCTTAATCATTTGTTTTTCCTTTGTATTTAATTATTTTTTCAGATTTATTGTTCCGCGTTTTTTATTTTTCCCATATTAAAAAAAAATAAAAAATCAGGCAATTTGAAGTTAACATTTTTTTAAAAAAAAAATTCGATGCTATAAAAAGCTACAAAATTTTAGAAATGCAACTTTAAAAAAAAACCTGATAACTGGTAAAACTTTCTTTATTAACGCAACTTTTATCGATCAAGGGATGAGATACGAGTAATTTGACTATCATCGTATTTCCGAATTTGGACGCCATATGCAAGGGTGTTTCGAACAGCTTTATTTTGATAAAAATAATAATTTAACATTTAATCATTTTAAAAGGCTTTTTTTTTAAAAAAAACTTCTTTATAATTTGATTCCCATTATCCCATATTTGAATATTAATTTTTGAATTTGGGGAAAAAATGATGTTCAACATGTTTAAAATATTCTAATGAATAAAAGGTTACTGCCACTCTCGGGGGGGGGGGCGTATATTATATTTTTTTTATGTTATTTTTTTTATCAATTTTTTATTTTTGCCTACATATTTTTTTTATGAAGATATTTTAAGGAGAATTTTGACTACAAATTTAATTTTTTTTGTGGAATTATTAATTCCGCATATTTTAGGAGAATTTTGCCTACAAATTTAATTTTTTTATGAAGATAATTTTAGTAGAATTTTGCCTACAAATTTAATTTTTTTGTGGTAAAATATAGGAATTATTAATTCCGCATATTTTAGGATTTTGCCTACAAATTTAATTTTTTATTTAAGTCTACAAATTTTTATTAATTTTGTATTAGGGATAAAATAGACCCCACCTTTGAAGTTTAAGTGATTTTTAACCTTTCTAGTGAAGGGTTAAATCGAAATATAGTATTAAATGACGCAAAATATTGTATTAAAATTTATACACGAAATATAGTATTAAATACCCAATTTTATTCATTAAATTGAAATATATTATTGAAATTAACAGTGATTTATAAAATGAATAAAAATGTCAAAACGACTTACAATTTATATTTCCTAAAATATCTATATTCAAGAAGATATTCATGAATATCCTTATCCCCATGTTTTTTATAGTTGGCTTTTAGATCCAGCCAAAGCCTTTCGACTTTTTGGGTGTTGATATCTGTCATTTGGATTAATAAAATTTGGTGAATGATTGATCCGATAATGGAAATAATTGGCTTGTTCTAGCCTATTATATCTAAGATAAGTAGATTTAAATTTATTACCACGACAGGAAAAATATATTCCTAAAAATAACTTAAATATTTTACCACAAAAATAATTAAATTTGTAGGCAAAATTCTCCTAAAAATAACTTAAATATTTTACCACAAAAAAATTAAATTTGTAGGCAAAATTCTCCTAAAGTATGCGGAATTAATATTTCCTATATTTTATCACAAAAAAAATAAATTTGAAGGCAAAATTCTCCTAAAAATATCTTCACAAAAAAAATTAAATTTTTAGGCAAAAATAAAAAATTGATAAAAAAAATAAAAATAATATTCCCTCGAGAGTGGCAGTAATCCAATAAAAATTAACTTTTCAAAATAATTAAATGATAAAAATTAGAGGTGGGTGCAGGCTGTGAAAATACCAGGGTTTAACATTTGCTCAAAATTCAAAAATCTTCACAGATCGTTGCTCTTTTGAAGATCAAAATATGCGAAGATTTTTTCGCTAAAAAAAATTTTGAGCTTGCTCAAAGAAGATTTTTGAGCAAAATAAAAAATATTTTTTGTAAAAAAATCTTCTATAATTTTGAGAAAATATTTTGAGAATTTTATAATAAAATAAAATCTTTTGTAAGGAAATCTTTATTAAAATATTTTTGAAATTTTGATCTTAAAATTTTTTGGTAAATTCTTTAAAAATAAAATTTTTGATATATATTTTTTTTTATTTTATTATGTTAATGAAAATATTTTTTTTGAATAGGTTGTGAATGTGAGAATTGGTCATTATACCGACTGCATTTTTTTTAATATTTGGAATAAGTAATAGTGATTATTTTAAAAATGTAATGTCATAATTTTAATGTTTTATATTTAATGTAAACTATAAAAGTGACAATTGTCATAATACTCATCTCAGAACCTTTAAAAATAATTATAATTAAAAAAGGCTAGTTGAGCATGTTTTGAGATGGTTTCAGTGATTGTAAAGCATATAAAGGTGACAATTGTCATAATAACATATGTTTTAATTGGAAATAGAGAAAAATGATTATTTCAACATGAATTAATATAATGTGTAAACTATAAAAGTGACAATTGTCATAATATTCATAACAGATCCTATAAAAATAATTTTATTTTTAGGTATTAAATAGGCGAGAAAAAATTTTTTGAGCATGTTTCGAGATGGTTTTAATGATTGTAAAAATTGTCACAATCGTTATTTTTGAACTTTTTTAAAGCAAGTAGATAAAAATTTATTAAATATAAAATTAAATGTGGATGTACCATAGAGCAGTGACAATTGTCATAATCGTTATTTTTGAACTTTTTTGAATTTTTTTGAAGCAACAGAGTAAAATAATAAATTGTAAACATGTTAAATTGAAATTTAAATGTGGATGTACCATAGAAAAGTGACAATTGTCATAATCGTTATTTTTAATCTTTTTTGAATTTTTTTGAAGCAAAAGGGTAAAATTATATATTGTAAACATGTTAAATAAAAATTTCAGTGAAGATGTACCATAGAAATGTGACAATTATCATAATTGTTATCTTTGAACTTTTTTGAATTTTTTTAAAGCAAATAGGTAAAAATATATATTGTAAACCTGTTAAATTAAAATATCAGTGAATATGTACCATAGAAAAGTGACAATTGTCATTTTAATCGTTATTTTTGATCTTTTTTGAAGAAATTATATATTGTAAACTTATTAAATTAAAATTTCATTGAAGATCTACCATAGAAAAGTGAAAATTGTCTTAATTGTCATTTTTAATCCCTTTTAAATTTTTTTGAACTTACAGGGTAAAATAATAAATTGTAAACTTTTTAAATTTAAATGTGGATGTACTATAGATAAGTGACAATTGTCATAATGGCCATTTTTAATCTTTTTTGAATTTTTTTGAAGCAAAAGGGTAAAATAATAAATTATAAACATCATTAATTAAAATTTAAATGAGGATGTACCATAGAAATGTGACAATTGTCATAAACGTTTATTTTAATCTTTTTTGAATTTTTTTTAAGCAAAAGGGTAAAATTATATATTGTAAACATGTTAAATTAAAATTTCAGTGGAGATCTACCATAGAAAAGTGACAATTGTCATAATCGTTATTTTTAATCTTTTTTGAATTATTTTGAAGCAAAAGTATAAAATTATATATTGTAAACATGTTAAATTAAAATTTAAATGAGGATGTACCATAGAAAAATGACAATTGTCATAATCATTATGATCATTTTAGAATTTATTTGCTGAAACGAGCAGGTTTTTAGCTGAAGCCCATCCATGGGCGGCCTAGCTTAATAATTTTAAAAAGTGCGAGCGAATCGGTTACAAAATTTTAACAATTAGCGGGCTAAAAAATTTTAACTTTAGTTTATTATTTAAAATCTATTAGGTAAACATTAAAAAGAATCTATGAATATAATTCCCAGGAAATAAAATTCCCATTTTTTAAGATATTAAAAATTACAAAATTAGTAAAATAGTCACTATCTCCAGGTCTCTTAAATCTTTCTACATCTACATGTTGGTACCAATTAACATTATATTGTTTATTATATATAATCTTTTAGATTTTTCCTCACAGGAAGAACCATCTTATTCTCAAAATATTTCAAATTCAGTTTTATTTGGTATAACAAATAATTCTTAACCCAATCAAATAAATTTTTCTACAATAAACTCTGATACCTATCATAAACCACAAAAGAAATATAGCAATTGGAGTCAGGAAAAAATATAAATAGCCATAAACAGAATAAGAGGCCATCCGTCAAACTCCCTCCTTCAAGGGGGAAAACGTATCAGTTTTGGGTACCATTACAGCAATGAAAATTAAAAAAAAATTTGAATTCAATTTTATAAAAAAAAAATTATATAATACTTTTTTTCAATCTGGTGCCGCCTCGCTGGCACCAGCAAATTTCATTTTTTTGAGATTTTTATTTTCTTTAATTCATAAGGCAAAACATTAAATAAAAATAAATAAAGGAGGGAGAGAGAGAGACAATGGGAAAAACGAAAAGAAAAGAAAATGCATTTTTTATATCTTCATTTAACATTTGATTTTTTATAAATATAAAAAAAAAACATTAAATAAATGTATCCCATCCAAATTTATAAATGGGGGTTTTATTTGGCCTCAATAAAACAATTATTTTATTCATTTTTTTTATTTTATATAACATTAATTCCTGATTTTTTATTTCAAAATAAAGTGAAAATAAAAATAAAAGGAAAAAACAAGAAAGTTAAAATTAAAAATTACAAAATTTTTTTTTTATATATAATGCAAAATAAAAAAAATCTCAAAGATATTCTAAAGGAGCATTTTTTAATCGATTCTTCTGATATTATCCTATTAGGTACATCAGTCCTTTTCCCATTATACAAATTCACAATGAAATTACAAAAAAGTAATATTGTAATAGGTGATTTTTTTGCTTCATGGCTAGAATGCAAAATGGAGCTGGAGGAAATGGATAATAATTTATCTAAAAGTATGTTGGAATGTTTAAACATTAGAGAAAGCTATCTTTTTCAAAATAACGCATTTCGTAGTGCGATATATATGGATCATAGATTCCATTATGAAAATGGAAAATATCCTTTGGAAGAAGATAAAATATTGGCCAGGGTAAATTAATAAATTTATAATATACATCTTTTTATTTTAGGAACATATATTTGCAACTTGGAAACAATTGCAAGCTATTGACCCTCATGAAGAAAATACAACTCTAGTTATGCCTTCCACTAGTGATTATAAAAAAACAAAACTTGACCTTTACATTGAGCGTGATTGCAAGAAGGGACCTATATTTTATGAATTATGTAATAGCGATATCAAGCTAAAAATAAAATCGTTATTATACAACAAAAGATTGCCATCCTCACAAGATATTTTGCAATATTGGGTTTCAAGAAAACACCAAGATGCAGAATTATTTAAATTATCTCAAATAATTCTTGCTGCTCCTTGCACCTAAATCTCAGTTGAGAGAGCATTTAGTGCATTGGCACTAACTGTAACCTCTCTAAGGACAAGATTAGACAAAGATATACTTGATGATATTTTAATTATATAGCTTAATCGTACATTGTTAAATAATGTGATATTTTAAATAATTATTTATATAACCTATTTCATTATAAAGTTATTGTTTACATTGAAATTTTAATAAATAAAAATTCATATATATAACTGATTTAGATTTTTTGTATGAATAGTATAATCAGAGGGGGGCGTATTTTACTAGATATATCCAAATAGTAGTTTCTAAGATCTAAAATTGATTTAAAAGATTAAAGAAAAAATATTTTTAAATTTGTTGTTCCCAAAAATATCATGTTTATATTGATGCATCTTTCTAGTTCAACTCCGTTCCGGTTGGCTCTAAAAATTTAACATATATGATACTATTATCATCTGCCCAGAGGTTTAAGTGTTTCCCAACAAGATCATATTAACCTAATTTAAAAATAATGGATATGACTATGAGTAATGTGATAATTTCAAAATATATATATTAAAATAATTTCAAAAGGGAGTTGAGAATTAGATATGTCACTTATCTATGGTACATATTCACTGAAATTTTAATTTAACATGTGTACAATTTATTATTTTACCCTTTAAGTTCAAAAAAATTAAATAAAAAATTAAAAATGATAATTGTCACTTTTCTATGGTAGATCTCCACTGAAATTTTAATTTAACATGTTTACAATATATAATTTTACCCTTTTGCTTAAAAAAAATTCAAAAAAGATTAAAATAAACGTTTATGACAATTGTCACATTTCTATGGTACATCCTCATTTAAATTTTAATTAATGATGTTTATAATTTATTATTTTACCCTTTTGCTTCAAAAAAATTCAAAAAAGATTAAAAATGGCCATTATGACAATTGTCACTTATCTATAGTACATCCACATTTAAATTTAAAAAGTTTACAATTTATTATTTTACCCTGTAAGTTCAAAAAAATTTAAAAGGGATTAAAAATGACAATTAAGACAATTTTCACTTTTCTATGGTAGATCTTCAATGAAATTTTAATTTAATAAGTTTACAATATATAATTTCTTCAAAAAAAATCAAAAAAGATTAAAAATAACGATTATGACAATTGTCACTTTTCTATGGTACATATTCACTGATATTTTAATTTAACAGGTTTACAATATATATTTTTACCTATTTGCTTTAAAAAAATTCAAAAAAGTTCAAAGATAACAATTATGATAATTGTCACATTTCTATGGTACATCTTCACTGAAATTTTTATTTAACATGTTTACAATATATAATTTTACCCTTTTGCTTCAAAAAAATTCAAAAAAGATTAAAAATAACGATTATGACAATTGTCACTTTTCTATGGTACATCCACATTTAAATTTCAATTTAACATGTTTACAATTTATTATTTTACTCTGTTGCTTCAAAAAAATTCAAAAAAGTTCAAAAATAACGATTATGACAATTGTCACTGCTCTATGGTACATCCACATTTAATTTTATATTTAATAAATTTTTATCTACTTGCTTTAAAAAAGTTCAAAAATAACGATTGTGACAATTTTTACAATCATTAAAACCATCTCGAAACATGCTCAAAAAATTTTTTCTCGCCTATTTAATACCTAAAAATAAAATTATTTTTATAGGTTCTGTTATGAATATTATGACAATTGTCACTTTTATAGTTTACACATTATATTAATTCATGTTGAAATAATCATTTTTCTCTATTTCCAATTAAAACATATGTGAAATAAGTATTATGACAATTGTCACCTTTATATGCTTTACAATCACTGAAACCATCTCAAAACATGCTCAACTAGCCTTTTTAAATTATAATTATTTTTAAAGGTTCTGAGATGAGTATTATGACAATTGTCACTTTTATAGTTTACATTAAATATAAAACATTAAAATTATGACATTACATTTTTAAAATAATCATTATTACTTATTCCAAATATTAAAAAAAATGTAGTCGGTATTATGACCAATTCTCACATTTACAACCTATTCAAAAAAAATATTTTCATTAACATAATAAAATAAAAAAAAATATATATCAAAAATTTTATTTTTAAAGAATTTACCAAAAAATTTTAAGATCAAAATTTCAAAAATATTTTAATAAAGATTTCCTTACAAAAGATTTTATTTATTATAAAATTCTCAAAATATTTTCTCAAAATTATAGAAGATTTTTTTACAAAAAATATTTTTTATTTTGCTCAAAAATCTTCTTTGAGCAAGCTCAAAATTTTTTTTAGCGAAAAAATCTTCGCAAAAAATTGATCTTCAAAGATTTTTTCCTCAAAATTTTGGGCGAAAAAAATCTTCAAATTTTTATTTGAAGATTTTTGTAAAACCCTGGAAAATACACATAACATGATGAGTCACAGCATGAATGTGAATAAATTTTAAATTATTGAGCGTGACAGGCCTTCCCAAAATTTTTGCCAGGCTCGAACATAAATTTCCCGTGAATCACTAAGATTTTAATTTTTAAAATTGATTTTCTATCAATATAAATGCTGCAATTTTATAATTATAATATAGTTACTAATTTAACCCCCCCCCCACCTATCCTTAGCCAAATCATAGCTACACCTATTAGTTCTTTTTAAAAAAGAATAATTTTTGAAAATCTTCCAAATTTTATAAACAATATTTTTTTCCTCTTATATTTCAGTTTTATGAAAAATATTAAATCTCTCAACCATCATTCAGCAATGGAAATTTGATAATAAATAAATTTAACTTAAATATATTTTATTTATCTATATACTAAATTTTTATCAATATTTAAATAAAGCTCAAATAATCTGAAACCAAATTCTAGTTCCGCAATAAATAATACTTATCTATGGAAACAAAAATTAGTAAAATTTTGTAAACCTTCTGAGTGATACAATAATAATCAAAACCATAAAAAACAGGACAAAATTTCTTTTAGAGGAAAATTTATTATGCAGCCACTACAATAAGTTAGGCTTAATTCTTGATCGAATTTCAAGTCTTAAGTTATTAGACGAAGAAAAGGAAGATATATATATATAAACAACCTTATAATTGGGAAATGATATAGAATTAGATGATATGCACAAGTCAATACCAACTATCAATTCATCCTGCCCACATAAAAACTTGTATATTCTATATAACATTTAGAGAATTTCTAGATGATTCTGATAAAGCATCAACATCTACTGTTGAAAGCTGTGGGGATGAACTTAAAAAATGCATCGCTCATAAAATAAATAACAATGACAATATTTTGAAGTTTTGGAAGCAGGAAAATTCATTTCTTATTTTGAGAAAAAGCTAGTAAAATTTTGTCAGCCCCTGGAGGTTCGGTTTCTAGTGAAAGATTATTTTCTAAGCCAATCGTATTAGAAGAAAGGCGAACACAATTCAAATAAAAAAACGGACATTTTTTTTCAAAATAAAAATTTTGCTTTTTGCAATTAATTTGTGTTATTAATATAGAATTTGAAAAATAAAAACAAAAAAGCGCATAAATATAGCAATAAATATTTAAAAACGCCATTGATCTTCGGGCGTGATTAAAATATTCTCTTTCGTGAGTGGGTTGGACGGATCAAATGTTTTTTAGTAGTAAGCACAAAAGGGCATTAATTTTTTTTATTGTCGAGTGGATGGGTCATGAATAAAAAATTAGACCCTCGTCCACCTCTAATAACAATGATCATTAATGATAAATTAATTTGAATAGATTTGCCTTTTTTTGATAATAAAGATGGTGTCTTTTTATTATAATGAAGATATTGCCTTTTCTTTGATAATGATTGAGTCTTTCTTTGGTAATGAAAATGTTGTCTTTACTTTGATGAATTTTGTTATAAGTCATTAAGGATAATGACAGTGGTTTTTCTTTGATAATGGAGATGTTACCTTTTTTTGTAATGTGTGGCTACTATGATAAAAGTTAGTCATAAATCATTGTGTTACGGTTGATGAAAATAGTGTCTTTTCTTCAATGATAAAGATGTTGCCTTATTTTTAAAAATGGTGTTTTTTCTTTGATAATGAAAATGTTTCTTTTATTTTGCTGAATATTTGTCAAGTTATTTCTAAGGATGATGATAGTAGCTTTTCTTTATCTTTGTTATCAAAGAAATGGCAACATTTTTTTATTATCGAAAGACAGCATTTTCATCATTCATAAAAATGATTTATGACTAAGTTCCAGCAAAGTAAAAGCAACATCTTCATCACCAAAATAAGGAAACATCTTCATTATCAAAAAAGACACCATCTTTATTACAAGAGTAAAGGCAACATCATTGTCAAAGAAAAGGCATCATTGTCATCATTCTTAGCACCAATTAATAACTGGGAATCTAAAGACACATAAATAATTCTCAACCTTACCAACTCTCAAAATATCCTTTATAACATATAATATTTTTTTTAAAAGTATGGCAAATTGCATACACTCAATTTGTGTGCAGTATTATATGTCAATAATATTTGAATCATTACACATAAAAATATTAAACAAATTAATAAAATTTAGCCCTTAATTACCTATAATTTAAAATAATTTTTTAAAAATTAGTAACTAATTTATCTGGAATGTTCAAGTACAGATCGGTTAAAAATTCTTTTCTTCTCCCTAAGCTTTCAGTGCCATCTTCTGGGTAAAGTCGTAAATAGTAAGAATCATCATTTAAAAACTTCAGAATCATTGAACAGATTTGAAAGGACTCATAAGTACATTTCCGAGCACAAAAGTGTAAGGCATGATACCTGGCACCTTCCTTGATATTTAAATAAATAATATCATTCATGTAATACAAATTTTGAATATTAAGAAAATCTATACAATTACTATAATATAAAACCAAAATGAATTATATTTTAAATGATAATTTATTTGTTTAAATTCAGTAAAATTTATTTTCAACCTATAAACAATTATGGATATAAAAAAATCTATCATAATTAAGTTTAAACAAAACTAAAATTATTAAATTATATAACAAAATAAATTTCATGATAAAATATAAATTTTGAATAAAATATTTTTTAAATATTTATTTGTTAGTTTAGTTTCTATTTATAAAATATTTTCTATATATAACCATAATTTATCTGATGGTAGTAATTTGTTATAGTAATACAAAAGGCAAAAATGTTTATTATTATGTTCCTAAAAAAATTCATAGTTATTTAAATTGAATTTATATATTTTTTATATTATAAATAAACAATTTTGTGTTTCTTTAACCCATAAATTGCCTTCTAAAATATATTGTTTGAAAAATGTTCCATTTTATAAAAACTATTATAAATAAAATATCAGAAATTTTATTCAAAATTTAAAACAAAAAAACTTGTAAAATAACAGGATTATCACCATGAGATATCAATAATCGTGGATTTAGTTGAAGTAGATTAAGTATTTCTTTCACATTATCTGAATTTAAAAAACTTCTAAATTGACTAATTTGAGTAGTTGAAGGAGCTTTAAAGGGAAGAGGTTTTTCACCTAATAATCTATTAGCAATGAAATTAAATTTAATTTACCATCAGATCTTGTTGTATTTGATATATCAACTAGTTTATAATTTTTTTTATTTGGGGTTTCCAAGTTTTCTGCAATATTTGCAGACAAATAATCTATATTTTGTGGTTTAGGCAAATTTTTGGTTAATAAATTTGATTCTAAATTTGCATTTTCAGTTAATATATTATGTGATTTTTTTAGTTTATGATAAAAATGTTTAGCATAATGTTTTGCTTTTTCTTCGCTGTCAAATACCTGTAGAAAATATATTATAAATAAATAAAACCATTAAGTAACTTTAAATCTTGCTGATTTATATTTTTTCAACACCTGACTAACAACTTTAAAATCATTATAAACTAACATATCTATAAATCAAGTGATTATAAATAATTTTTATCCATCCTACTTTCTTCCCCGGAAGTTTCATGTGAATTTATATTTGATTCGTCTCCCAAAATGAGAAAATATTTTGAATTGAATGCCATCCAATGGCAAGATGTTAAAAAGTTTTGTTTCTTAGCATTAGTTTTCCTGCAATTACTAACTAACGCCCAAATTTGCTAATCCACTACGATAAAACTTTAATAAGCGGAGCTTAGCAGTCGTCTTTAATATTCGATATGATCACACACAACCACCTATCGATTTTCAAAAATAACTAAAACTATTATGAATTTATACCGAGAGCTAAGTGGTATAGAGAACTGTTATGCTCAGCGTCTACATGACAGGATTTTCACTGGATGTAAAAGCATCTCAAAAACCTATGCCTACTCACCTAAAAATATTTCGCTATCGTAGGTGACAATGTTTTTACATATTAATTATTGAAATATTTTAGATCTACTATCAACTATAAAAATATTGTTAATATAAAAGAGTTATTTTTATGAATTCATTAACCCCCTCTTTTATTTACAATAATGCATTATTCTAGTATATTGTTTGGCATGAATATGAGTTTGCCGAGAATATCGGATAGCAGAAGGTTTGGAAAAAAATGTATATGATAGTTTGCAATATCAAATATGGGATCAAATTCATCTTCTTCGTTGTCAGTTAATGCTATTTCATCCTCCGATTCCCAATCAAATGCCATAGACTTATCAAAAAATTTAGCTTCAATAAAACACTTTATGATTGTGGTACTTGTCACCTCACCCCATGCAAATTTTATAAGATAGAGGCTATCATATAGTGTAAATCTTTTATAAAAAGAAATGGTGTCATTTCCTTCCATCAATGTTATCATTTTTCTCATGATACCCTTTCTATAATGACATTTAAAGGATCTAATTGCACCCATGTCCAATGGTTGAATTAATGATGTTGTATTTGCTGGTAAAAAAATTAATTTTATATTGTTAAATGTTAATTTTGTTTTGTGACAAGATGCATTGTCACAAAACAATAAAATTTTCTTCTTTAATGAGGAATCCCATTCTTTAAGAATATCTTCAAAAGTTGAGGTTGTCATCCAGCTGCTTTTATTGGAGTAGTATTTAACTGGTAATTTTTTATTTTTAAAGCACCTAGGGTTTTTAAATTTCCCTACAACATATAACTTTTTATCAGATCCATCCCCATTTATGATAAATAGAACTGTGACCTTTTCCTTGTCTGGTTTGAAGCCCAGTGGTTGAGTTCCACTAAATTCCATTGTGCCCTTTGGTAATGCTCGGTAGTATAGTCCTCATCACAATTGTAAATATTACTCCTTTGATAATCTTTAATCAGAGATGGGAGTGTATTTCTGCTCCATTCATTTGCATTAATAATATCTGCACTCCCCTTTTCATTGCAAACATTATGAAAATTTATATTCTGTCTTTTCCTAAATCTCTGCAACCAGCTGCTAGTAGGAATGCCTATAATTTATATATATATATTATAAAAACTTATAATTACCTTCATTGAATGTTTGGCTAAAAAACATAGCTTTTTCTGACATCACTAGCCCATTTAGACTGCAATTTTTACTTCGCATTTGTGTAAACCAAACCAATAAAGCTGCTTCTGTCTTTGGGTAACAACTCATTCTAACTCTTTTAGTTGTAGGAGGTTTATTCCTTAGAAATTGTGAGCATAGATTTTCTTTATACGCTATTAAACGGTAGATTGTCGAGACGTGGCAATTGTAAGATGTAGTGTTTAATTTATCAATTATTTCTTTTTTATGCTTCAGGGTTAATGTTTGGAATGATTTTTTTACCATTTTTATATTAATTTCTGGCGTGGTAATGAATGAATGAATGAATGGAAAAAGGTTAAATAAAAAAAATGATGAATAATTTTTTTCGATAAATTTTTTTTATTTTTTCACTTATCCGATTAAATTAACGTTATTGTTATATAAATGGGACCTGAAAAATTTTGCAATTATCCGATATTTCGCAATTAACCGATTCGCAATTATAAATGTAATTTAACATTATACCATAGTAATTATTATCAAAATCGCGGGGTTTTTTCGCATTTAAAAGTTTTTGCACTTAAGCGATATGCAATTAAACGGTTTTGACTGTATATAGATTTGGCACATGATCAGCAATATATTTTATCATAACCCCCTTAAAGACGCTTACTCCCTACCTCTCTCAGAAAAATTGGACGGAAACTGTTCCAATACTTCCCCCCTCTCATGTAGACACAGGTTATATATGGCCTATTAAGAGTTTTTGCACAAATATATAGCCCGTTATTCTGTCCAGCACATTATAATTTAGGAAAAAATTTGCCCAGCTAGATCCTTTAAAATTTTAAGAAACATCCGCCCCAGTTCGTTAAACCTTATATGAGTTTTTCGGCTCCATTTTAAATATGTATATCTAATTTTTTCCCAGTGTGGATTAAGGTTCTTCTATTTAATTTGTTAACTGTTTTCAACAGTAATGCCATGTTAAGTATATCAAACAGGGTGTATTGCGAGGGGGACAAAGGAGGATTCTAAGCACACCCCATAAAAAAAATTAATTTTAGCCCCCTATCCAAATTTTGAAGAGGGGCTGAGTTCCCGTCAAATTTTTTTATATTTTTTCAAAAGTGTTATTTCTCTTATCTATATTATAATTTTCCGATGTCCTCACTACGTCATTGTGACGTCATGTTATCGCTACGTCATGTCATCGCTACGTATTTATTTATTTTTATTTATTTATTTATTTTTTTATAAAAGCAAGACTCAAATAAAAAGCAACTATTATATCCTGGTAAATAATATTTATAATTTATAAAAAAATTTTATTTACTTTTTTTATAGGTAAAATATTTTGAGAAGAAAATCCAAAAAAGCTAGACTCAAATAAAAAGCAACTATAATCCTGGTAAATAATATTTTTAATTTATGATATCAAAAATTAAATATCATTCATTTATTAATTCAACCCATATTCATTTTGAGAAGAAAGGGTAAATAATATTTTTTATTTATAAAAATGAGTTTTACCAAGGGCTAATATCAAAAAATAAATATCATTCAATTCTTTCAAGTAAATTAAATTATAAATGCTTATATTTTTTTACATTTAGAATACATCAATTTTAGCTTCTGATGATATTCCCACTCTTTCTAGGTTGAACCTAATATTGAATCCTCTTCAGGTTTAATACATTAATATTTTTAAAATTATTCTTATGTTTTTATTTTAGATAACAAGCCCTGTCTAAACCTCTCTTAATGATTGTACAGATGCTGATTAAGCAACTATTATCCTGGTAAATTATTATTTTTTATTTATTAAAATGAGTTTTTACAAATCAAAAAATAAATATCATTCAATTATTAATACAGCCCATATTTATTTTGAGAAGAAAAGCAAAGTAAGGGTAAATAATATTTTTAATTTATAAAAATGAGTTTTTACATATCAAACAATCATCATACACCCTTAGTTTACAAAAAGTATAACATCAATAATTTAAACTTTCCCATTCCAGCTACACACATTCAAAATTATTATAAATATTTATGAAAATAGCTTCAAAACACAAAAGATTAACCCTACCTTTTTTTAAACAAAAATGTGGTATAAAACAAGGATGTGCCACCTCCCATTTTCAATCTACTAATTAGTGACATCACAAATACCACTACAAAATGTAGACTGGCTAAGCTACGCCTACAACATATATATCATTATAGAAGATGTCACTAACATTAATTATTTTAACAATAGTCTTAAATAATATGCAGACTGATAAAAATTTTAAAAAACTATTCTATCTTTCCTTCCTTTTTAATTTCTTTTATTATCTTCACCTTTCTCAAACTTTTTAATTTCCTATTTCTTTCTCTTTAGCTTCCTTTCCCTTTTAATTTCCCTATCTTCTTTCCATTTACAATACTTAGTATGATATTTTTTATAATTTAAATAAATTTATATATCTATTTTAAGCATCCTAACAATATATCCTTTTATCTTTGATGAATATTTTGTCTAACTAACAGAAAAATATCCAAAGTACATTATTTTTAGTATTTAACTAAATATATATCAATTTTTAAAGATCCTACTTTTTTAAAAGCTTGCCTTTTGTCAGATCCACAATTGCTCTATTCTCCATGCTGATTATTTTGTATAACTCATCAAAAAATAAGTACATTATTTTTATTATAAATAATTTTATATAGGGTTTTATATCTATCCAAAAATCGATATATATATATTACAATATTTTTTTTATTCAATTAAAATTATATATTTATTCTTAAGGATCCTACCTTTTTAACAATACTCCTTTTTATTCTTACTAATTTTTTTGTATAACTCAATAAAAAAGACAAAAAGGGGTATTCTATCTTTAGGATTTTACATTTATTCTAAAACAAAATACATACTATGGTATTTATATTATTTAAATTATTCTATATCTATTCACAAGGTTCCTATTTTTTTTTTAATTTGCAAATTGGACTCTCCGAATGGTATTTTATTTTAATCCTACCTTATAAAATTAACTTGAGAATTGTTTTGTTTTTACTTTTAACTATCCCCATCATATTTCCTCTTTATAATTGTTCAAATATTGATATATCAGTCATTAATATTGTACAAATGCAAAATAAACCTGTTAATTGTGTTGTTTATTCAAATTTGTGAAATAATTTATTTTGATGTTAATTGAGTATTAATTTAAATATCTTTTGAAATGTTTAGGTATATATACCAGTTGATTATTATACATATTATTATTATTTGATTTTTAAAAGTAGAAATAAAATTTAATCCAAAACACAAAATATAACTTGTTATTTTCTTGTTTCCTTCATGGCGCCCCGGTACGTTTTTGTAAAAAAAAAGAAGAAAATATATAAAATTTGCCTAAAATTAAAAAAAAAAGTAAAAAAATTAAATTCGAAGGACATGACTTGTTTTTTAAAAAAATATATATATAGTCAAATATTATTCTGATATATACATATACAAAAGTGAGCTACCTATTGAGGTGACTACCTTATCTATTGATATGACTACCTATTGTGATGAC